CCATGAAATCACTAATCTCTCCTCCTTTTACTCTTTCCAAAATGAAATTAATTTTGCTGGTTTCTTATTATAAAATGCATATTAACTACAGGAAATTATAATACATGCAAGTATAACAGTATTCACCCCAAACACCCAACATTAACATCCTAAGATAGAACCTTCCATTGATGCCTCTGAGCAGCAGGATAATGGTTAAGGTAGAGAAATGCTGGGGGTTATTTTGATTGTTTTTTGGATTTTGTTTTGTATTTTTGCTTTTTTAAACACTGTTCACATATTAACTTGATAAAAATTAAAAACAAAAAGATTTTGTCAGCTATGGTGGTGTATGCCTGTAATTCCAGCACTCTGGGGTGCTGAGACAGTAGGATTACAAGTTGAATCCCAAGCTGGGCAACTGAGTACCTTATAAAAACTGTTTCACAATTCTTTATTAATAATTTTTAAAGGGTTAGAAATGCAGCTCAATGTGAAGGGCCTGGGTTGAACTGCCTGTACCAAAATAAAATAATAATAAATTAGATTAAATATATATATCCTTCTAGCACATTTTTGTATAAAACAATTATTAAAATGGATTTTTGTTGAGAAACTTAACGTTTATAAGATTGTAAAAAAAACTACTGAAAGCACACAAGCTGCAGTAAAAATGCCTTAATGTAAACCAGTAAACTCATGGTGACCACAGTTTTGCAAAATGATAAAGTTTAGGAATTAAGGAAAACATTTTAGGGGACCAGAAAAACATCACATTAAATCACTCATTTGGTTCTTTACAACTAAACTGTCACAATGACTGGCAAATAGGACCCTGTTCTCTTTAAGCCTCTCACCTTCTGAATCTGTACAGCTAACTCTCTCGTCGGAGCCAAGATCAAAGCTTGGGTTTCTCGAACCTGGTAAATAATCATAAAAGGTATTTTCAAGGTGGACTGCAGTAATTCATTGTCAGATCTATTTTAAATATTAGCCTTATTAACTATACTTCTGATTTCTGATACATTTGAGAAAATCTTAGTGTTAGTTATACTCTCAATCCAGTGGAATAACATGACCCATTACTCAAGGCTCTCACGTGCAGACAAGAATTTCCCCTAACTTAAAAACCTTCCCAGTTTAAACAAAAAGGCATTTATGACAGCAGTTCGTTCAGACATTAGTATGCAATTAAGATATCCTCCAAAACGCTCAGTTAGCACAAGTACAGAACTCTGAACATTAAACTCTTTGAATACTCGCATTGCAGTAGAAAAAGCAAGTTCTCCCAGGACTGGAGAGCGCCTGTTTGATAAGGGGAAATCACCTGAATATCCAGACACTGCAGGACTGAAATGCTGAAGGTGGCCGTCTTGCCTGTGCCGGACTGAGACCTGTCCAAGAGAGCAGACAAGTGGGCCTGAGAGGAAGGGCGCGGGCACATTTCTCATTCGCGTGACCCACCACAGCAGCTCCAGGCAGGTTCCTTTAAGCAGACACCCTCCCTTACACCAACACCAACGAGGAAATAGGATTTAAACACAGGGCCCAACTTCCAAATCTCTACAGGTGATGAGGACAATCAATGTGGCTTCTGCACTGGACAACAGAAGTTCAGGTCTGTAACTCAACAGGTGCTTTATAGGGGACAGGAAAAGAGAAATTCGGCTGGGTATGATGGCGTACACCTGTAATCCCAGCACTCAGGAAGCTAAGGAGGGAAGATCACTGTGAGTTTCAGGGCAGCTTAAACTCCATAGTGAAGCCCTGTCTCAAAAAAAGAGAAATTTGCCTTCAAATAAAACAACTTTTCTGAGATTCTTAGACAAAAACTATCCTCCAGAAAATTTAATAGATAAAATTTTTAAACTATAAGGCAAATGGGGTTGGCCAGGCAGCTCAGTGGCAGAGTGCTTACCTAGTATATACAAGGCCCTGGGTTCCATGGCCAGCACAGCAAAAAAAAAAAAAAACAAAAAAAACAAAAAAAACAAAAAAAAAGAGGGGAAAAAAAGGGGGGCAAGAGGATATAAAGGAGAGGGAAGCATAGGGGTACACATCTGTAACTCCAGCACTTAGAGGGGCTGAGGCAGGATGATCACAAGCTTGAGTCCCATGTGTGAAACTCAGCAAGATGAACTCTCAACATGTAAAAAACTGGACAACTCACTGAGCCACACTGAGCAGTGACTCCCATCACTCACTCTCCGCTGGACACAAATCAACTTACTGTGCAATGACATCTCTGCCTTTAATGATCTGCTTGATAGCTCGCTGCTGGATTGCTGATGGTTTTTCAAAGCCTGCAAAGGACAAACAAGGAACTCTTACCACCATGACAGCCTTGAAACCCTGTGCCACAGGCTCCTCCGGGACACAGCTGGTCTAAGTGGCCAAGCTCTGCCAACTCACACTCCCAGCCTAACCCAATACTCAACACAGAAAGCACACAGGACACAAGAGCCCAGGGGACCTTTATTCTGGCTAGCATGAGACATCATCTGCAAAGACAAAATCTCTACAAAAGAAGCATCACGGTTAGAATACAGAGACTCTGGTTTTGTTTTAAAAAGAAAAAAGAATTAGGGGCATGCAGGGCCTGGAAGCACAGGGCACCAAAAATTTACTGGCGATTACTATTGGAGAGTCAGGTGACAAAAATAATCATGTTTTACTCTATTTCTTTGTCCTCTGACTACAATATGAACGGCTTAATCACTTTTTAAATTTAAAAAAGAAGATAAGCTGGGCGTGGTAGCACATGCCTATAATCCCAGCACTTGGGAGGGGGTTGTTATGAGTTCGAGACCAGCCTGCGCTACACAGTGAGTTCAAGGCCAGCCTAAATTGCATACCAAGACCCTCTTTCAAAATGACAATAAAAGAAAGACAGAAAGAAAATTAGTGGGGCTGGGGATTTAGCTCAGCGGCATAAGCGCCTGCCTTGTAAGCAGGCAGTCGTGAGTTCGATCCCTGGTACCGATAAAAATGAAAAAGACAAAAAAATGTAAAAAAAAAAAGAAAGAAAATTAGTATCACTACAGTCACCACTCTTTCCTGTCTAGCATTACAATGCTGGATTGTCCATGTCTACAAATATTCAACCTGCACAGGTCATGCTGCAGTCCAGCACTGCTCTCCCATCTGGAGGCACTGAGGATCAAACTCACGACCTCACACTTGCCAGCCAGGCACTTATGCTACTGAGCTAAATCCCCAGCTCTGGAGGCAACTATCTTAACCACAGTACCACATCTCCTGCCCAGCAATTACTACCAAAGGAGGAGGTTGTTCTGCAGGACTAAAAGTATTTTCCAAGTAGGCAAATAAAAGTTTATGTGTATGAACACATAGTATACCATGAACACATAGTGTATCGGTTTCATGAACAGATGAAAATCTTAAAATGTAGCACAATTTCCCATCCCAACACAAAAGCAAATCTAACAGATGACTTAAACTGATGAAGACAAATCTGTGGACAGGAACCTAATAATGTCACAAAGGGAGGCACTGGGTGTCAAGAAGGGCCTAGTTTTGAGGATTTCTTTTCTTTTAATCTCTCAGCAACTTTTTTCACTGGCTAAACTATCCTGACACCAAAAATTTATGCATAAGGGCTTTCCAGTCCCAGGCACTGAACAACCCCCAGACGCCAGAATTCCTTTCTATACATGTTACCATCGTCGCTGGGATCCACTTTAATAGACAGCTGTCTGCCATCGCCCAGATCTTCAAACAGACCAAGACAGAGCTTCCAACTGTACCTCCCTCTAGTGCTGCTACCTAAGCAGGTATCTGCAAGCACTGCCCACCAGATTACCCAAGGCACCCAAAATTCACACTCCAGTCCTTCTTCCTCCGGAAGGCTTCCATTCAGCCCATCAGCCAGCCCCGTGAGCTCTACCCGACTCCATCAGCACAGAATCATCCCTTCTCTGATCAGAGCAAAAGCCTCCTCTCCCGCCCTACCTCACCCTAAATCCACAGACAGAATAACCCTTGAACCTGCAAAACTGATCCTATCACTTTGATGCTTGAAACCCTTCACCGGTTTCCCACTGCACTTAGAAATCAATTTCAAAATCTTTTATCACTGTCTCACCAAACTGGCCACTGGGATCGCAGACGGAATTTCGCTCTGTTCCTGGAACACACTCAGTTGAAGGACCCAAGGCCCAAGCACCAGCTGTTTTCTACCCTTTGAATGCTCTACTCTCGTCTCATCGGCTCCTTGGGGAACCCCTTTCCTTTCTATTTTAGTTCTCTCCTCTCCCAACCCTATTCTATTGCTATAAGCAACCGCTTCACACCAACTGCCACTGCCTGAAACAGCCGCGGCTTCACACTGCCCCTGTCCCAAGTAAAGGCACGATCCTGACTAGTTTACGGCTACCCCACCAGGGCATCCCGCAAACACAGAACAGTTATCTGCTGAATGACTACAGAACAACTGCAAGGCCTCGCACACCGCGAACAACCGGACACAAAACACATGAGGGGACAGGGTTCTTTTTGCGGGGATCGCACGTCAACGGCGCCCCGAGCCTCAGCCCCCGACGCCGGGCCGGAGCAACGCCAGTCACCCTGCTGGATCCTCGCCCGCGCCCCCGACCCGCGGCCCGCGCCCCACGGCCCGCGCTCTCTGACCGTAGGCGTAAATGCCGCGTAGCAGGTCCTCCCGGAGCCCCATGGTGTCGAACGTGGGGGTCACGTCCACCTCCTCGCTGGTCTCGAACTCCACTTTGGTCATGTCCTCTTCTTTGAGCAACCGCTTCCGTGCCGAACCAGAGGTCGCCATCGTGGCCGTAGCCGCCATGATCCCTCCTCGGCAGAGAGCTAAAAGCGCGCCGCAGTCAGAAGCGGAAGTAGGCCCGCCACAGGTACCGCCTAGCGGAAGTGACGTAAACACGCACTAGCGTACAGCGAGCGGGCCTGCAAACCAGTGTGCGTCGGAGCCGCGCCTCCGGAGGGGCGGGGCGCTCCCAATCCTGTGCGACAGAGCAGGGTGGATGTTCTCGCAGCCGGTGGAGCTGTCGCGGGATTTCATAAGGGGCGGGCCCTCTCATACCCTTATATTGTTGTGGCGGAAGTGAGGCGCGGGTGAAAATGGTGAGGAGTAGTGTAGTGTGTTGTTTCTTGTTGATTCTTCTAGCTGGATTTGACCGGTCGCCGTTGGTGCACTGGGGTCCCCGGAAACCGGCGGAGGGCTAGTGACGGTGCCTCTGCCACACGTGGGGTCCGAAGCGCGCGAACGCCCCCGGCTATGTGTTCGGGTGTTAACTCGCCCTGCAGGCCGGCGAACTCGCGGAATCGACTTTCCGACGGCCACCCGGAGAAGGCGGAGTGGCCCCTCGCGGCCCTGGTAGCCTCGGCTGACCTTTGGAGTGTGCTGACCCCTAAGGCCTTGAATGCTGCGAAGCTGCGCGTGAACTTGGACTGGGTCGGCATGCCTTTGACTCATTTTCGACATCTTTGAAACGCAGTTCACATTGGAGACTCATGTTTTTAACCTTTGCGAAAGTTACGGTGGACAAAAGCCGGCTCGATGCATCGTTTTCCTTTCCTCCCTCCTTCCCTTCTCTCTTCCTGTGTGTATTTTGTTTGTTTTTTGTCTTTTCGACACAGGGTCTCCCTATACAGTTCAGACTGACCTTGAACTCACTATGTAGCCCAGGCTGGCCTCGAAGTCATAGCAGTCCTCCAAGTCATAGCAGTCCTCCTTCCTCAACTTCCAGAGTGCTGGGATTACAGTTGTGCTCCACCATACCCAGCTGTCTCTCTTTAAATATAGTGGCGCTTTCTCTTGCTGTGCAACTGTTTACCCCAGAGCCACACCTACAGATCTTTGATCGCTGACCTCTGTCCAGTAGTTTTTGAGAGTACTCGTTTTGGAAAGGTTGTAGTTAAAATGTGATCCACATTTTACAGAGAAATCTTGGGTTGCGGTATGCCTGGGTGAACAACCGAATGTCTTCAGAGAGCAGAGTTCCCATTCTGACTGCAGGATCTGTCCATACCAGGTAACTGTTGTGGTTAACTTGCCGGAAGAGGAGGCCACTGTTAGTCAAAATACCACGTAGTTAGCCAAGTGTGATGTGATGCGCCTGTAATCCCAGCTCTTGAGGGTGAAGCAGGAGAATCAAAAGTTCCAAGTTAAATTGTAAGTCGATAATAGGGCTGTGGGTGTAGCTCAGTATGAAACCACTGGGGTAAATCTCCATTACCACCGCCACTCAAAAAAGAAAAAAGATCTATATGATGCTCACTTCCTTAGACTAGGTTAAATGCAATGTAAATGCAGGTTCTTGTGTTGTTACTGTGCAAAGGATTGAGGGCATTCACAGTGTTTTGCAGTGTACCTGGATTTCTTTTTTTTTTTTTTTTTTTCCCTCCAAATCCATTTTATTTCAAGGATTAAAAAAAGAAACAATTTCAAAACACATCAATCTGGGCAATAATGGTACATACACTCCACATGGTCATCCTCAGCTCTTTCTCCCAGGGCACAAGACATTGGCCTTCAGTTGTCTGAACAATACTAGCACAAATCTTTCTGTTCAGTGAACTCAGAGAAATCAGTAGAATAACTGTTAACTATTATTTTAATATACATACACATGTTTTTCTTTGAGCTTCTCACACTAATGGAACAATATGATGTTTATATGTGTCTTATCTCACTAATGAGTATGTTCTCAAGATGCATCCATTTACCTATAAAAGTCTCCAGTTTGTCCTTTATGACTGAGTAGTACTTCACCGTATAAAAAGTACCACATCTTTTTTATCCATTCTTCAGTCATTGGGCCTTTAGGTGTTTCCAAGATCTGGCTGTTACAAACTGCTGCTGTAAACTTGGTTACATATACATCACTGTGATAATACATTTTTAATTCTTGTGAGATACCCAGAAGAGAAATGGCTGGGTTGAATGGAACCTCTAGTCTTAGTTTTTTGAGGACTCCACATTGATTTCCACAGTGGCCACCCCAGTCTGCATTCCCACCAAGAGTGGACAAGGCTTCCTTTTTCCTCACTGCCCCTCCAGCATTTGTTACTGCCTGATTTGATAGTCATCATTCTTTCTGGGGTGAGGTGGAATCTCAGTGTTGTTTTAATTTGCATCTCTAAAATGACTAGTGATGTTGAACATTTTTTAACATTAATTTTCTGTCTGTATTTCTTCATCTGAGAAGTGTGTACTCATCTCAGATGCCCAGTTTTGGATTGGGTCTTTAAATCTGGTAAGACTGATATTTTTTGAGTTCTCTATATGTTCTCAATAGTAATCCTTTGAGGAACAGCTGGAAAACATTTTCTCCCACGTTGTGGGCTGTCTCTTGACTTGGTTTCTCTTACTGTGCAAAAGCTTTCAGTAGGTAAGATCCCAGTTGTTGATTCTTTGTGCAATTGGAATTTCGTTCATAAAGTCTTTGCCTACACCAATGTCGTCAAGAGTTTTACTTACTCTCTTTTCCAGTAGATTTAATGTTTCTGTTTTAATATTAAGATCTTTGACTCATTCTGATTTTGGCTTAGTACATGGTGAAAGATATGGCTCCAGTTTTAATCTTTGGCATGTATGGAGCCAGTTTTTCCAACACGATTTACTATAGAGGCTGTCTTTCAGTGTTTGGCATTTTGGTCAAAGATAAGCTAGCTTAGTGTCTGGAATTGCTTCTGTAGCTTCTATTCTATTGATCTTCAGGGTCTGGTTTTTGTTTTTTTTTTTTTTTTTTTTTTTTTTTTTTGCCAGTACCACAGTTTTTATCACAGTAGCTTTACAGTTTAATTTCAAGTCAGGGATTGTGACCCCCTTTGTCATGTCTTTGTTGCCCAGAACTACCTTTGCTATTCTAGGTCTCATCTGGTTCCAAATGAATTTTAGGATTGATTTCTGTAATTCTCTGAGACACGCTATTCGAACTTTGATTGGGATTGCACTGAGTCTGTATAACAGTGTTGGCAGTATGGCCATTGTCACTATATTGGTTCTTCCTATCCAAGAACACAGGATATCTCTCCATTTTCTAATATCCTCTTCAATCTCCTTTTTCGGAGTACTATAGTTTTCAACGTAGAGGTCTTTTACATCCTTCATTAGATTGGTTCCTACATATTTCATTTTTTTGGATGCTATCATAAAAGGTATCGTTTCCCTGATTTTTCTTTCAGTGAATTTGTTATTTATGTACAGGAAGGCTGTTGATTTTTGAGTGTTGATTTTGTATCTAGCAACATTACTGAATTTGATGATTAAATCTAGAAGTCTTTTGGTAGAGTTTTTCAAGTCTTCTAAGTAGAGTATCATGTCATCTGCAATTACAGATACTTTAATTTCTTCCTTGCTGTGTTAATTCCTTTTCTTTCTTTCTCTTTTTTACTTTTTTTAAATTTTTGGTGCCAGGGCTTGAACTCACAACCTTGCCCTTGCCAGACAGGCGCTTATGCCACTGAGCTAAACCCCCAGCCCTCTTTCTTTCTCTTGTCTAATTGCTTCAGCTAAAGTTTTGAGAACTATGTTAAATAAGAGTGGAGACAGTGGATATCCTTGTCTCATTCCTGATTTTAGGGTGAAAGCTTTCAGTTTGTGTCCATTTAGTATGATGTTGGCTGTTGGTTTGTCATAGATGGTTTTTATCAGATTGAGACAAAGACTATCCCAATTTTTCTTAGGATTTTTATCATGAATGAGTGCTGGACTTTGTCAAACGCTTTTTCTGCTTCTATTGAGATAATCATAATATTTGTCCTTGACTCTGTTAGTATGATGCATTGTATTTATTTTACTTAACGTTGAACCATCCCTGCATCCCTGGGATGAATCCCACTTGATCATGGTGTGCAGTCTTCCTGGCAATTTGCTGCAGTCTGAGTGCCAGTATCTTATTGAGGATTTTTGCATCAGTGTTCATTAGGGCAACTGGTCTATAATTCTCTTTCTTAGTTGAGGAGTTCTCTGGTTTTGGTATCAGGATAATACTTGTTTCTAGGAATGAATTTGGGAGTATTGCTTCCCATCCAATTTCACTGAAGAATTTGAGAAGTAGTGGTGTTAGTTCTTCTCTAACTTTTTGTAGAATTCAGCAGTGAAGCCATCAGGGTCTGGGCCTTTCTTTGTTGATAGGTTTTTTATTACATCTTTGGTTTCATTTATTGATACTGAGTCATTTAGGATTTTTATATCCTCTTGATTCAGCTCTGGTAATTCATGTGTATCTAGGAATCTGTCCATTTCTTCTGTATTTTCCATCTTATTAGAATACAAGTTTTCAAGTTAGGTATAGATGATTTTTTGGATTTCTGTAGGGCCTGTTGTGATTCTGCCCTTTTCATTCCTAACTGTGTGGATTTGAGTCTTTCCTATAAAACCTGGATTTCAGTGATTTAATACGAGGACGTGGGCCTGAGGATGTAGTCCAGTGATGAGTGCCTGCCTTGTATGCTTGAGGTCCTGGGTTTCATCCCCAGCACTGCAAATGATGATGATCATAATCATGATTTTATATTAATTCCTAGCAGGCTAAGGCAGAAGGATTCCAAGGGTGAATCTAGCCTGAGAAACTTAGACCCTGTCAGAAAAGGACTGGGCATGTAGCTGAGTAACAGAGCACCTTCTTAGCATGTGCAAGACCTTTGATTCAATCCCTGGGGTCAAATAATTATGATGTATTGGTTATATTGAAATGATAATGTTTTAGAAGTAACAGGTTAAAAATTTAAATTTCATCTGTTTCTTTTTTTGAACTGTAGCTATTAGAGAAAAATGTTAATTATATTCTCATTAGAGCATGCTGGTTACGAAGTTTCGTAGACTGTCAGTATGATTAGCAGACCCTGGTTTTGTTGCTAGTAGTACTGCAGTTGTACTGCAGTCAGGGGGCTGCTGAGGACACATGTTAGCTACTTGCCCTGTTGGTTGACATATTTATTTTGTGTAGCTATGCTGCCTAGTGCAATAATTGACTGCCCAGCTCCAGGATCCACTGTTTACACTGCCACGTCAGTTCCAGTTTTCATCAGGTATCATCGTAACCTTGCAAAGGTGCAGGCATGCATTATCTGTGTAACTGATGCAAAAAATTAAAGTCATTCTGTTCAAGTGCCCCATAGCGAGGGGCTGGAATGGACCCCCTGGATTCCTGCTGCTTATCACTGCTAGGCTCTGCATTCCTGGGTCCCTCGCCATCTCAGAAGCCTGACACCAAGGTGGGCAGGGCTATCACCTTCCTTAGCACACTTGCTAGCACCCCACTTTCCGCAGTTTACATTTTGGGGAGGGGCCACATCTATTTCCTTCTGCAGGTTTTCTCTAGCATAGTAGGTGCCCAACAAGAGAGTTGTCATCAGCCTTATTTGCATGGGCATAGTAAGGACAAGAGGAGGAGATTCAAGACACGGTCCCCCCTGGGCAGGAGCAGTTGTGACCTGACATGACTACCGTCAGGGATATGGAACTGCTCTGCGGTCCACACCTCTCACCTGTCTTTCTCTACACCCACAGGGATACTGGAATCAGGGTGAGAAGGTCACGATGACTAATCTCACTGAGGAGTGAAGGAGGTGAGGGGGTACTACTTGGCTGGGCTGTACCTACGGGAGTCATCGCCATAGGAGTCAGTGTCCTAAAGTCCATGGAAAGGGCTGTCCCTACAGAACACTTCCTGCCTGAAATCTCCACCCACCATCAAGCATCAGAGTGAACTCTGTTCCTTTCTAGGTCTCTCCAGGCCCAAGTACGGGCCAGGTCACCTTACTAAGTGCCACTGACACCACCTCAGTGCCATTTGATTCCGGGACACTCACACTGGCCAGAGTCCAGCACCCAGGTGGCAGGTGCATGAGCTGTCTGAGTGATGGAGTCAGGAAGCATGGAGGTGACATCGCCCTCACAGAGTTCATGTTGCAGAAGAGGGCCAGCCCCTCAACACCTGTAAACAAGATCATCACCATGATGCAAATAGGCTGGGGGAAACAAGAGTTCCTGGGTTCTGATTTACCCTGTGGCAAGAGGAAGGTGTCAGCGGAGTTAAGAGGAAGCAGCTGCTGTAACGCCCAGCAGCGGGGTGTCCAAGAAGGGACAGTGCACACAAAGTTCTGACATGAGGGACAAGGCAGCTGGGCAGCACACTTGAGCGATGGGAAAGTCACATGGCAACAGGTCAGCAAAGCCAAGCAGTGTGCAAGCATTAGCCACACAAACCCAGTAGCCACCGATCATCCAGTGGAACAGCACAGGGCTATGAGTGGGGGTGCTGCATGGAGACCACTGGGAGGTGGAGGAACCTGGACGACAAGATGCTTGGTGAGAAGACGCAGACCCAGAAGGCTGCTAATGAGATGATTCCACTCAGATGTGCTGTGTGTGCCAGGGAGACTCCTGAGACATGGAGCAGACAGGCTTCCGGGAACAGACCCGGGGCCACTCCTGGGTATAGGGTGTCCCCTTTTGGAGTGAGATCGAGGTGGTGATCGTACAACACTATGAACATACTGAATGCCTCTGAATGACGTGCTTTAACATAGTTTCTGTCGTGCAGATTGCTCCGCAGTTTAGGAAAAGACACATCAGCAGGTGTGGCATGGCTGGCTACTTGGTGGCCCTCAGTGGTGTGGGAGGCAGCATCAGGGAACGGACCTGTTCTACCTGCTCCTGTGGAAAGAGCCGCTGCCCTCCTTCCCTGGCCCACTCCTGTGCTGGTGCTGCTGGAGGTGGACGGGGGACGGTGTCCACAACAGCCACCACAGCCTCTCCCCCAGCCGTGCCTGGAGGAGGCCTTCGGGGCGCCCATCACCAGTGATGACTATGGGCGGCTGTAGTCTGCTTGTGACACCCCACTCCTTCCTTGGCCACTTCTTCCTTCCCCAAGGTGCCTCCCCTCAACTCTGGCTTTGAGGTCCTTTCTTGCCCTGATTTTGCTCTTACAGGGGCTCTCTACCTCCCCACTAGTGCCTACCTCGTGATTTCAAGGCAAAGCCAGAAGCTTCCCTGCCCCTGTTTCCCCCACATTTGTTAGTAGTGCATATTAGTTGTAGAAATTCCTGAGCTTCATCCTGGCAGATTAGTACCCGTATGCCACATACTTTACTCAGTTCCCCTACCTTCCTCACCCCTCTTTGCCCCCTTCTGCGTGGCTTCACATTTAGCAGTGGCACAATGTCAATGATAAATTTTGATCATGCGCACGCCCACCACCCACCCTGTGCTCCCTCTCCTCCCTCCTCCTCCCTTCCTCTTGTCTAACAATAGTTTGCCATTGACTGTATCATCTTTACCATCAGCCCCAGGTGAAACGCTGCCCAGAAGAGCTCTGCTGAACGGGTCCAGCTCGCCTCAGTACCCTCCTGTTAGCAAAAGCTACCAGGTTACCAGGGTGTCACCAGCTGCCCGCAGCCCATCCCTTACCCTTGGATGTTTCTCCAGGCGACACACCAGCCTGTCCAAGAGATCACAAACCATTTTAATTGCCCCTGGCAGTGTGCACACAGTTGCATACTATGTAGTATGAACTCTCCCTTGGTCCTTCTGAGAACTCAATGGGAATCAAGGTTCTATTTTTGCCCTCCAAATGCTCAAGTTCCTTCTGGCATTAGGAGCTTCCTTACTTCTGTTTCTGCAGCTCGGTATTTCTGGAGAAACTGTTTTCTCAAGGGCTGAGAACTCAACCTTTAGTATACTCTGCTGGCTCCCTCCTTGACTTGGAGCTATGGTGTTTCTTTGCATTTTCCAGAACCATACAGAACTTTCTGTGCACGAGGCACAGTGAGATGTGCTTTCTCAGCACGAGGCAGAAACTGTTAACTACCCCTCTGGGGATGCAAAAAGGCACCCTGAAGAAAAAAAAAAAAAAAAAGCAGCCTGCCCAGGCGAGTACTACAGCTGATGCACAGTATGGCTCTGATTTGATTGGACAGCTACCTCCAACCTGTGACCTCTGGCTTGAACACAGAACTTGAGTCCCTCTGCCACAGTGGTGTTAGCCTCACTGCCTCATTCAGCAGGAAGAGGGATTTGAGGATGAAACAGCTGTGTGACCTTGGACACCTGCCTCCATCTGTCCAGAGGAAAATCCTTAAGTTCCTCCACTCACTTAATTCCCACAGAGGAAAACCAAATAGGACAAGATGGAAGGAAGGCCAGGTGACAAGCCTGCGACTTTAAGTAGAATAATCTGGGATGGTCTCTCTGGGAAAGTGGCCCCTGAGTACTGTCTAAAAGGGAGTAAAGAGTGTTTTGGGTAGAGGGAACAACAAGTGCAAAGGCCCTGAGGCTGAGCATGATTGAAACATCTAGACAGCAAGGAGCAGGGGAATGGCTGTAAGTCAGCAAGTATAGATGAGCAGGGCTCCTGGGCCATGCAGAAGACTGGCCTACACATCAAAAGGAGTGACCTAAGTAGACTCAGACCTCAACAGGCCCGGCCTGCCTGCTGTGTGCAAAACAGGCAGTGGGCACTGGAGGAAGAATTTAGGCGCCATTGCAGAGGACTGGTGGCAGCGATCAGGGCACCGCCATGCAGGTTGGAGGAAGCCGTTGAATTGGACCCTAAATGGCTCAACATTGAAGAACCACAAATTTATATAAGCCAAAATCATAGTGGTGAGATGCAGATTTTCAGTGAAGCTGCTGGGATTACCTAGATACTTTCCATAATGGATCATGGGCCAAGAAGGGCCCCAGGAGTTACCCTCTCCTTCAGCATTGTCCTCAGGGTAGAATTGGGGTGAACTGCGTTATCACTCACAAAGGAGAGGGAATCCCCACCCCTCTTGGAGTTCTCCCCCAGGCTCTGGTCTCCAGAAGGCCAAACCTAAGCGTGTAGTGGGACGCACAGCCCTGGCCCTGGCCCTGCTTCTATGGGCAGGGCCTAGACAGACGTGTGGAACCTGCTCGGCAGCTGCTCCAGCCCAGCCCAGTCCAGCCCAGTCCAGGCCAGCCCAGCCCAGCAGGACTGCGCCACAGTCCCTGCCACTGCCAGGGAGAGGAAGGCCAGTGGGAAGCGCGTTCTGTGAGTGGACAGCAGAGAAGCAATGGACAGGTCAGCATGGGTGCCAGAAGTCCTGGGGGCAAGAGAGGCTGGCTGCTTCCCTTTGGGACCAGGGGCAGCTTGTGGGAAAGAGGAGGGAACAGCTGCCCCTCGTGCCTGCCTGTGGTCTGGGCCACCCTCGGGCTGCTTAGTGCTGCTTCACGGTGATGGGCTATGTTTTGCCCCCCAGGGTAAGAGAGGAGGCAAGATCCCCAGCTCAGGTATACGGCAGCTAGCGAGGCAGACTGTGTCACCTGTGGGTTACGGGAGGGTGCAGCCAGGCTGTCCTGGCATGGTGGTGACAGCTGGCACCCCTCCCTTCTGTGCCGCACTTTCAGGGTTCATGCATTCCCTGACCTTTTCCTGACTCACTCCTCCCTCTGGAGTTCATCATGGAGCCAGTGTGTGTGTATTTGTGTGTGTGTGTGCATGTGTGTGTACCCCTGCTTCTTCCTCCTCTGCTTCCTAGTGAGAGTGGACTACATGGTTATTGTTCAAGCTGCACTGACCTATGCCCTGGCCCCAGCACAGCTTGGGGGTTGCAGAAGCTTGGAGCAGGGATGGGGGTTTGGAGAGCACACCGAACTTCTGATATTCCAAGTCCACTTTGGGGTTTGGCACAAGAGCAGTGGGTTAAGCCTTGCAGGGAGTCCTGTAGCCCTCTGGGCAGGTGGGGTCAGCAGGCAGGCTAATCAGGCCATGCATACACTGGCTATGGCCACTAGCACTGGGCTCAGGGACTTGTGGAAGAACAGGTGTCTGCAGCTCCTCACGACTCAGCCACAACGTGGGGTGCTACCTGTGGCATCTCAATGCAACGAAGCAAGGGCGATCTGGCTAGTGTATGATTTGCTGAGAACAAAAATTCGTGTTCTGTGAGCCCTGGGCCCGTGGCTCTTTGGCACCAATTTAATCACAGAGCCATTGACCCGAGTCAAAGATCACAATGTATTTGCCACCTGCTTCTGGAAGGGTGGGCTTGTTCTTAACCTCATGAGAGATTCAGCAGCAAATCTAAACCAATATAAAGATTTTATGAAGATGCTCACCCTCTTATGAGTAGACAGTCAAGGAACTCTGCCACAAAAGGAGGTCCAGGTCATCTTCCTGTCCCAGGCAGCTCGGGTCCTTTCTCTCTCCCTGGGGCTTTTCCAGCACTCTCCTCATGCAGCCAGCTGTCACTCCTACCCTCTCCCACCCTTTCCCGTGCACACCCAGGGGTGACCTTCCTCCTGAGGAGCAGGGAAAAGCAAGGAATAACGTGTTTACTCTGTCACCTGCCAGTCCCTTCCCCTTGGTGACTGTCACCTAAACCCAGTCACCTTAGAGAAGGGCACCCGTGATAATTACACTGGGATGAGAGCGTAGACAGGAGCCTCCCCAGACCCCTGAGATCCTGGGCATCTTCCAGGTGCTGGGTTCTTTGCCCCCAGCTGCACCCCCAGTGTCTAGGCTGAAGGCCATTTCCTTTTTTGACCACTGAGCTACTTCTACTGTTTGCCTTGATAATGACTTAATGACTTTTATTGAACCTGTATCTGCTCATTCTAAAAAGATTTAGCAATGCAGAAAGAAGAAGAAAGGAATAGCTTTTCTAGAATTCCACCATCATAAATAGCAAGCATCAGTACTGGGGAGCAGGATTCTGAAATCTCCCTGCATTCCAACTCTGTCTCTGTCTCTCTGTCTCTATCTCTGTCTCTGTGTTTCTGTTTCCCTTTTTTTCTGCCTCTCTCTCTCCCCCTCTCTCCTTCCCTCCCTCTCTCCTTGCCTCCCTCCACCTCCTCTCTCCCTCTGTCTCACACACACACACACACACATACACACACACACACCCTCAATTTATGTTAGGTTTTTGGCACAGCTGAGAGGCAAAGACAGAGATTGAAGAAAGCCTTTATTCCCAGGCTGGAGGACTGCTGGAGATTGTGAGGACCCTCAAAGGAGACAGAGCTGGGGAGTCGCTTTTATGGGATTGGAGTCGAGGCGAAGACCACGTGAATGGACAGGTCATCATGTTGGGAGAGGATGACTTTTTGACATAGCAGATGGAGACTTCCTGAGTAGATGGCGTAGGGAGAGAAGCTGGAGGACCTTTGGTGGCTCGTGATGGGAAGACAGAATGTTTATTATTTTGGGACCAGGAGATGAACTCGGGAGTTAGTGTGGGAGAGATGCGCTGTTGGTTTAGGGGTCGGTGCCATGTTGGGTGGGCGCTGTGCTGAGCCTGGCATAGTCTCACAGGAGCAAAACCCATCCGTTTACATTGATTTTGTGCTTTGAATTTGCCAAAAGCAGCCAATAGGGCTGTTGTTCTCCAAGAATGTGCGAGGGGAACCTCTGCTGCCTCTGCAGCACCCAGGCACATTCCTGGGAGGTCACCGGGAGGAACATTATTCCAGAATGAGGAAGCAAAGGGAGGGGCAGGAGGAGGTGGGCAGGCAACCTGTGGCCCTGCTCAGCCCTCTGAGGTGGCAGATAGGAGCTGGCAAGGAAAAAACCCAGCTCAAGTTGTGACACAGGACAGCTGGATGCCCAGCTGTGGTAGAGGCTGGGCCCAGGCAAGGAAGGGAAGAAGACATGGCTGGCATCCCGTACACTGCAGGCAGCCAGCACTGGCCTCAGGGTGGCCTGGGCAACCAGCCAGGTCCTTTGCACTGAGCTACATCCCTGGCCCTTGATTTGTAGTTGTTGTTTTTGTTTTTCAATTTTGAGATAGTTTCACTAAGTTACTAAATGGCCTAAGCTGGGCCCAAATTTGCTATCCTCCTGCCTCAGGCGCCAAGAGTTCCTTTTTTAAAAATAACTTTATTGACTACAGTTCACTTGCCTTATGATTCACCTGATTCAGATGTACAGGTCAATGTGTTTAGGATTCACAGACGTATGCTAATGGCAACACAGTCAACTTCAGGACATTTTCAAGACCTCTAACGGCGACCTTCCCATGCCCTTCAGCTGCTGCCTGGTGGATAGTAGGGTTCCAGAGACCCCTAGTAAATCTAAACAAGGCCAGCTTCCAGTGCACACCCAGGGTCCTGAGCTTGGTTGGCTGGCCTGTGGTCATTGCCTGGAGACTCAGGATATTTTGTTTAAACAAGAGTACTGTGTTTTTATTTCTCTCTGGGCCCTGCAGATTACATAATCAGTGCCAAACTGAGTAGAATGTTGCTTCGATTTGGGGGTCACACCTGACGACGGAGACACACAGGGCCCTCCACTGAGGTGCCCGTGGTCACACATCCTCGAGGACAGGCAGCATTCCAGGCTGTGGCCCATTTCCCACCCCCGTTCCCCTGTGTGTGTTATGCATTTCCTGCCACAATAAGTTACTGCAAGCTGGGTGGCTTCTGACTGGTTTGTTGAGAGTTCTGGGGGCCAGCAGCACCATGCTTTCTGGAAAAGTCCTAGGAGAGAGCTTTCTCATGCCTTTCTCAGAGCTTGTGTTGCTGACCATGTCCAGCAGTCCTTGGTGTATGTGAGCATCCACCACACACACTGCCATGTGCCTCTCTTGGGGCTGTGTCTCTCCTCCTCAGTAGGTGTCACTGGTCGGGGCTAAGGAGGTCCCATTCAAGAGGAGGTAGGGGTCTCAACATGGCCCAGGCAGGTTCTCAACTTCTCATCAGAGAAAAGCATTTCAGGAGCATGAGTGAGAGGCATAGACCCATGTGCTAGGTGGTTAGAAAATAAGAGAAAATAGGCATCAGCTTGAAGATCTGAGCAGACATGGTGCTGACAGAGAGGATCCGATGGCTCTGTTACTAAGGAGGGGGACAGACCGGGTTCTAGTTAACCATGATGTCAGTTCTGGTTTTGCATGGCGGCTCGCGGAAGCCCTTATTGCTTAGTCCAAAGTCTCTACTAAGTGCCTTTTCTGCAAGCTTAGTTTGAGTCTTGGGGAGGCTCCACTGGGACCCCAGTGACCACAGGTTTAGGCCAGCGAATGACTAGAGACTTCCTGGGGCTCATTGGTAGTTGAATGTTGTCTCTATGAGTCTTTTATCTTGGTATCTTCAGTCTTGAAGGGGGATGAGACAGGCTTATGTAAATTTAGGACTAATCAATCTTGTATCACCAGCTTTTTGACACATGTTCCCTAAATGACAAACACGCCTAAGTGTGGAGGTAGCAGGCATCTGACCCAGAGTTTCCGTGTGATGCGAGACAAAACGAAGGACAAGCTTTACTCTGCTTTTAGTAAAAGCATCTAAAGGCCCGAGCAAAGAGAAACTGTCGTTGTGGTGGTGGTGATGGTTGTGTTTTGTGTCATGTTATTGTTCTTTAGCAAAAGCAGCTTTCAAGTCCCTAATTACCTCAGAAGAACTCAGATGATGCTCTTAATGAGTAACAGGTTTTACAGGCCTGGTCTGTTCTCTTCCCCTAGCGGGTCAGTGTTTCAGAAGGACTCTGGTCATTGGAGAAGGGCCTACCCTAGTGACCTCAACTCAATTCTGTCTGCATAGACCTGTTCCCAAGTAAAGTCTGGAGGTGGGGAGTTCAATACATCTTTTGGGGGGCATGGGCCCCAGCACCCTAGCTCAGATGCATCAATTCAGCATCCCCTGGAGGAGACCAGGAATGAGCTGGTGGGGAGCAGCAGCAGGTCGGAACTGCCTTGGACCCTTCCCTGGCACCTCCACCCCCTTTCCAGTGGTTCTTTCTTCTGTATGAGGAAACGGGAATGGTGGCTCTTGGTGTCTTTGAGTCATGACTGTGCTCTTGTTGGGTGCAGAGTTCAAAGCTCAGAATCAGTCTGGAAAATCTGCTTCAGGCACAAGGAGCACCCACAGTAGCTCAGGTCTCCTTTCCAGTGATTTCTGGTATAGGAGTCTCTCTCTCTTTCTTTCTTTCTCTCTTTCTTTCTTTCTTTCTTTCTTTCTTTCTTCCTTTCTTTGTGGCAATGCTAGGGGTTGAACCCATGGCTTCACACATGCTAGGCAGGTGCTCTACCACTGAGCCACACCTCAGCTTCATCTGTCTTTTTAATGGCCTATTTACATATGCACAGCATACTTTGACCCTTCCCCCCATATTTTTTTCTTTGCCACTTGTTGAGCCTTTGGTGCCTGAACTTCGATTTGCAGAGCTGGTCTTGTGGCTTGGAAGAATTGTCAGGTCTTCTTAGAACTAGTCTGACTTGTAGCCCTTCCTATCCAGCCCTGTCTCACTAGCAGCCTGCAGGGAACGGGGCTAGCAGCACCCTGGCTTGGGTGTACTGGAGCTTGGGCACAGTGAAGCCAGCCCACTGCTAGGTGCTTATGCAGAAGTGAGTGTGACCCTCTCCTGGCCAGTGGCTCCTGGGATGGACTGTGAAGCTGTTTGTGGAGACAGGACTCTCCAGCTATCGTTCTCTGTTTTTCAGATTACAAGGGTTGATTCGCTGTTTTCCAAACATTTTTAATGTACAGACTTCTTGAACTCTGCCTAGGCCAGCCTGTCATTCCAAACCCCAGGAACTCACAGGCTAATAAATGTCTCCACTTGCGCCCAGAGATGCCGAGGGTATCCACACAGCACTGTGTGTGGCACAGGACAACTAGAACCTGCCTCGTGTCCTTCCTCGGGAGGATCACTACACTGGTAGCGGTTCTCTCGGTTTAGAGGGGAACATGAGTGAATGGAACTGCAGGCGTCAGAGCAGTAAAACTTGGGGCTGGAATGCGGCTCAGTGGGGAGCGCTTGCCTGGCATTACGCCAGGGCCCTGGGTCCACTCTTCCCAGAAAAAAAAAGAAGAAAAAAAAAAGATAAAACTGCCAAAGCATGTATCACCTTGTATTTGTGTGAAGTGAGAGTTAACAGTAAAAATACTGTTTATATATAAAATTACCATGCAGTGATATGGGTTCATAAACAATATCTCTTTGTCCCTTCTCTTTAGGGGGACACACTATCAATTCCAAATTGATAATGGAATTTGGTTAGCTGAGCTCAGCAACCACGAGCATAGACCCCTGTTTCAGAGTCCCACTTAGTGTTTGAGAACTGAAGGGTCCTAAGGCATTTAGAGCAAAAACCCGCAAAGCAAGACGCCCTGCTGGAAAGCTAAAATCCTACATTAATTTTGGTGGGCACCTGTATCCTGCTTCTTTGTTGAGCAGGTTAATTTTTCTCTTGTGAGCGCAGCTCATTCTGATTTTCTCATGGGATTTGTACCCTGAGTAATTTTTCACTTCACTGGGTCAGACACAGGGCACAAGATGGAGTTAGTTATGCCAGGCTACAACATGCAGGAAAAGTATCATGCAAAACCATTGCTGATACATTCTGTTGCTAGCACATTCATAGGTAGGAAATGATTTTTAGAACAGCAGTTACCTCTGGGTGGAGCGGGAGGGAACAGGACAGAGGAGGACAATCAGGCACCAGCTGTCGGTCTCTGGTGCATTCCCTTCAAAGCAGGTCTGAAGAGCAAAGCGCAGATGGTGGACTCTGAGTGGTGGATACCTGGCTGTTCACTGCGTGGTTGGCAGGGTATTCCATATACCCCAACAGACCTAGTCGGAGATGGTCTTACAATATTTACATGGGTTAATGGGCTCCTGATCTAGGGCAGCATAGGGAGGGCAGAAAGTGTGGAGATGGCTCACCCACAAAGCTAGTCTGGGCGGGAGGCTGACAGGGAGCCTCTGAGCCCACCCCCGACACAGGGTCTCAGGTCTTAGGCCAGTCTGCATGTCAGCTGCAGGGCCACTTTCTGAGGCTTGCTGCTGTGCTTTGGCCCAACAAAGCCGGGCCTCTCCGTGTCCCTGTCCGCCGGGGCCTGTCCATCCTACTGTCTGCTGTTTCTCTGCCTTTTTAACCCACAGTGCCCACCACCTGCTGCCAGCGCCTTTACTGCAGTGCTGTCTCTTTTTAGTTTGGCAGGATTCTTAAGATACTTTTTTTAACTTTTTTTATTGGTACCAGGGATGGAACTCACAACTGCCTGCTTGCAAGGCAGGCGCTTATGCCGCTGAGCTAAACCTCCAGCCAAAGATACTTTTTACAAATGTCATTCCCCCAGCACTTTCCCGACACCCCCTACCCCCACCTAGGGGGCCTTCGGGCAGCAGACGCTCATGTTGTGCAGTTCTGGGAGCCGAAGTCCAGTGAAGGCCAGGCTCACAGGTCTGCAGGCTCCAGGAGGAGGAGTCCTGGCGCTCCCAGCTTCTGGGTCCGCTTTCTTGGCTGCAGCAGTACTCTCCCATCTCTGTCTCCCTTGTCACTTGGGCTTTTCCTCTATCTCTTTGTCCCTTCTCTTCTTAGGAGGACATCAGCTCCTGGTGTTGACGCTCTCTGTAATCCAGAGTGACCTCTCCTTACCCACTCCCATCTACACAGAGTCTGTTTACAAACCAGGTCACGTTCCGAAGTTCTGGAGGGCCACGCATTTGTGGGGCCCAGATCTGACTCACCCTCGCCCTTGTGTTAAGAAAGGTTAACTTGGGGCTGGGGGTTTAGCTCAGTGGCATAAGTACCTGCCTTGCAAGCAGGCGGTTGTGAGTTCAATCCTGATAAAAAGGAAAAAGACAAAAAAAAAAAAAAAAATGAAAGGTTACCTCAAAGGAGGCCTCCCTCTGAGAGCTTCAAGGGGCACTCCACACCCCTACCACCTCCCTTCCACCCACAAATAAGAGACCACGCCTTTTTTATTCAGAGAATTTCATTTTAGGAAAACCTATGAATGTTTCAAAACTACAGCCTGAGCCACGCCTTTCCTGTGCTCCCCACCCCTGCACCCTTCTCTCCTCTGTGTCTTTGGGACCTCCATGCCCTTCACTTAGCCATCCTTTCCTCTCCCCTCTGTCCATAGCTTCTGGGGTTCATGCTCCAGAGAAGCATGAGAAGACAACAGTAGGGCCTCCAGCATTCATGAATGAATGTAGAAAGCAGTAATTCCAGAACTCGGTGCCACTTGCATTATTTTAGATTAACTTTTCCAAAATATTTACTAATTATGTTTTTTTTTTTTTAGGTAAAGCTCCAGCTGACCCAGAAAGGTAAGACTTTGTGACTTTGTTTTTCTTAGAGTCAGATTAAATAGACGGTGTTTTGGGACCTAATGTGATGTAGACATAGAAACCAAAAATGACAAAATCTGTAGAGGCTGTTCTAAAATGACCGAAGAGAGGGACCTGCAGAAGCAGAAGGGTTCCTTCCAGCTCTCTGGACAGTCTGCAGACCAAGACAAAGCTGGCCTCTCTAAACCAGCCATCCAAAAGCTCTGTGGTGGGTGCAAACCTTGCCTTGGTACTGCCCTGAGGACCTCTCCTGCTTCATGGCTGGACTCAGATCTGGGCAGGTGCCCTCACCCCAGCAGGTGCTCAGTGATGTCACAGCCACCACAAGAAAGGACAGGAATATCTCCTGTCATAGCTTCTGACCAGGAAGGGCCCTCACAAAGTGCTGTTCCATCCATGCTGAAAAAATGACAAGAACTCACCACAGTGCTAAAAGCAGTGTGTATTACATACACACACATTTCACAACATGTCTCTTGACCCTGCTCCTCACCTGACTGCTACTGACCCCTGCCAGACAGCACCCACTTCCAGTAGACACAGGCAACACCTCTGACCGCTGGACTCAGTATGCAAATGCTCAGGTTTAGTCTTGACTTCCTTCTCCTCCTCCTTTTCCTCCCCCTTCTCCTCCTTCTCCTCCTCCTCTTCTCCTTCTTCTTCTTTCCCATTTTTTGCAATACTGAGGATGTAACCCAGGGCCTCCCACTAGTTAGGTGTATTAGTTAGTGTCCCAATACTGGTACAAAATTCCTGACACCTGGAGAGTGGAGAAATTGATTTGGCTCCTGGCTTCAGAGGGATCAGTCCAAGGTCATTTATGCCAAGGCAGAAACGTCATGGCAAAAGCAATTGACGAAATGAAGCTGCTCATTTCATGGCACCCAGGAAGCAGAGCACAGAAGAAGAGTGCCAGAGAGGAAAGGGCAGGGACCAGATGTATTCCCCAGAGTTACAGTGCCATGACCCACTCTCCATACCTTGAAGCATGCTCTGCTTATCTCCTGGGCATCTCTCAAGCCAATCAAATTGACAATCAAGCTTAACCATCACACTGCTGAGCCAAGCCATGGCAAGCCCCCTAACTTTGTTTCATTATCACTCCCTAGGGAACCCTTCCAGACATCTCTCCCTAACAGCCTCCCATGACATAGGGACATCGTAAATATGTGTGCCTCTGTTTAAGTGAATCTGTTCTTTGAAGAGCTCAAACCTGTGTCCCCAGACCACTGTCACCCATTGGGAGTTTCCTTAATACACCCTTGAATATGAATATTCTAGACCCTTCAGAAAAGTGATATATTTAGGGGGGTAGGAGATTTTTTTGGTGCTGGGATGAAACCCAGGGCGGCAAACATCCTAGGCAAGTGCTCCTGATCTGATTCTAAACATTGTGATCAGTGAAGTCCCTTACCAGCAAAAGGCCAGTCCAGGATGCTGACCCCGGGTGAAAACTACTTCCTCCCACAGTGCCTTTGCGAGGGGACTTGGCCTGATGCCTAAGCCAGGACTGGATTTGCCCTTTCCTGGTCGTGACACCAGGACCAGGGTGGAGGCAGGGTGGTGATTCTGGGTGTATCCGTCACCTCCCCAGAGTTGGCCGTTCCCTTCTCTTCTAGCAAACTGGGAAGTGGATCTGAATGCAAACCCAGCCCCCACGGTCATTCCCTCGGTGCCCTGTGCCCTTCCAGAGCCCGCCCTACACCAGCCATGGCAGAGCTGTGCCGCACGGATTCCACGCTCACAGCCCTGGACGAGGACGCACTGTGGGAGATGATGGAAAGCCACCGCTACAAGATCGTGCGCAGCATCCACCCCAGCCGCCTCACCCCCTACCTACGCCAGGCCAAGGTGCTGGGCCAGCTGGATGAGGAAGAGGTCCTGCATAGCCCCCGCTTCACCAACAGTGCCATGAGAGTCGGTGAGTCCCGCGGAGGTCCCCACGGCTCCTGCTAGGCAGGACTTCCTACGAAGGGGACAGAGGTCTGGGCTTTAGGAACATTGCGTTAGTCCTCCAGGGCAGCTCCAATGAATGATCGCAGCGAGATGCTTTAAAGCCAAAGCACAGGCGCTGCAGTGTCTGCCAGTGGCAGGGCATGCTTCTTGTGCAAGGTCCTAGGTTCCACTGACATCATCCAGTGGGGAGAAAATGCCACATAGCAATTTATTCTCCCGTCATGGCACTGGCACGCCTTCACTCCCTCCAGGGCCAGGGAGAGTCCTTCCTGCTTCTTCCAGCCCTGGGCACTTGAGGTCTTCCTTGGCTGGCGGCCATGCCCCAGCCTCTGCCTCCATTTCCATGTGGGTTTCTTCTCTGTCTTTTTCTCTTCAGTCACTTAAAGATACTTGTCACTGGATTTAGAGCCCACCTGGATATCCAAGATGATCTTATCTTGAGTTCTTAAGGTTTTTTAATTTCCAATTTTATTTCACTAACAACAGCATTCACACAACACACACACGAGGTTTTAGTCAGACACCCAGGACCCAGGTGGCCTGGAGTTGGACTCAGGGTACAACGGCATCGAGAAGGTTCTTAGAGGGAAGTTCTCAGCACAGCGAGGGAATAAGGCGAGGAAAGAACAGGTAAGGGCTTCAAAGGGGGCTGCACGACCTCATCACCTTCAGAGCCAAGGAAAGAGTCAAACCAAAAATCAGCAGACCTGAAGCCCGTCCAGCTTCGTCCCTGGGCACCTGCTCTGGGGTCTCCTGCATTACCCACCCTCTCCTCTTACCAAAGAGTACCACTCTTCAGTCATCAAGCTACCCAGGTCACCACTCACAATGTTTCAGCTCCAAAAGCATGGTCCTCACACTTTGAGCTGTCTGGTAAACTGAGCTAAGACACCACGGCATCTCTTGCTCCGAACATCAATCTTCCTTCCTCCCTTCCTTCCTTTCTTTCCTTTTCAAGAGTAAGGAAATTGAATTGGGGAAAAGGAAGGAAGAACAAGAATATCTCCCAAGAGACAAGAGGGGCCCCAGATGGGTTGTTTGAGATCTTTAATTTAATTACGTCCATGATGATCTATTTTCCAAGGAAATTTACATCTTTGGTAGGGCGTGGGGCAAGGGTGCTGTTCAGCCCACTGCAGAAGTCATTTTCCAGGCTCTTTCAGGCTGTTTATGCATTCATACCTGGGGTGCTCATGACAAGCCTGGACTGTGGAGCCCAGGCAGAAAGCAACAGCTCTTAACTTTATAATGCACAGGTATGTTGGGTCACGGCCCTCCAATATGGGACAGACTCATCCAGGCTTGATTGTAGCTGAGGAGGTGGGATTTGGGCCCAGTGCTGGAGATCTACCCAGGCTCCCTGGGGCCACCCGCTGGGTCCATGTGGGCTGCCACGTGCTATTTCCTCATGTCAGGACCTGTGTCTGTGCATGGTCTTCAGCCCGAGTTGCCCCAGAGTAGCTGCTCAGGAAATTCGAACTTGGTCTCCTAGAGCTGACTGAGTCACGTGATGGAATTAGAAGCACAAGAAGGGCCCAGGCTGGCCCGGAACCCCAGAGAAATGCTCCTGTCCCCATCCCCAGATGCATCTCCAGCCCGACCTCACTCATGAGAAGCCAGCCCAACCCTGCTGTGCTCACCGGCCCTGGCAGCTCACGAAGGCCCTCTCCCTTTTTCCTAAGGGCACCTGCTGGACTTGCTGAAGGCCCGAGGGAAGAACGGGGCCATTGCTTTCCTGGAGAGCCTGAAGTTCCACAACCCTGATATCTATACCCTGGTCACTGGCCTGCAGCCGGATGTGGACTTCAGCAACTTCAGTGGTGAGTGCTTGGCCTCCGAAGGACTGGGCAGCATCCTCCTGGAGTCCGGGGCCTTCCTTGCAGGTGCCCCTAGCTTCTCCTGCCTTCCTCCAGGCGGGGTGCTGGCCTGAGCCTGGTACTCCGCCATTCACCTCATGGGCTAAGCCAGAGAGGGAGCCCTGCCCTTAGGTTTTATAGAGTCCACCTTTACTCACCCAGCATCACAAGGACCCGCGGGGGCTGATCAAGAGATGCAGGCCAAGTTTTTACTTTGCTCAAGGCTGCAGTCCCAGCACCCCAGCTTTGGGAGACCGAGGCCCCCTCCCACAGGAAAGGGGGTGGGGCCTTCTGCACTTGGGCACCTCAGGCAAGTAAAGGTTATGCCTTCCTGGTAGACGATGAGGCTGTTTTTTGTTGAGTGATTTTAGACCTGGGAGGGGGGCGCTGTTGACAGATGTAAATAAAAAACAGGGCTCACAGTCTCAGAGCAGTGAGTGACACACCCTCTCTCCCTCCTTTGCCTTACACTACATGTTGTGAGAGAGTGTCGTTGCACGCATTTAGATCTGTTGTGCGTTATCCGGGGATGGCAGTGAAAACAGCTTTAACTATCCACGGCAGTTCGTACCTGTAATCCCAGCCATGGGGAAACCGAGGCAGGAAGATCAAAAATTAAAAACCAGCCTGCACAACTCAGCAAGACACCCTCTCAAAATTCAATAAAAATGGCTGAGGATGCAGCTTGGTGATAGAGCACTTGCCTATCATGTGGGAGGCCAGGGTTCAATCCCCAGTACCATGCAAAAATTTAAATAAGAAAGGAAAAAGAGAACAAGAAGAATGACTTAGTTTCAAGTGCACGTGAAATGTGAGGAAGGAGCTGGGTCTGGAAAGCCAGCTCTCATAGGCAGGGGACAGGAGCAATCACTGTGCAGAAGTCATGCCGTACTATTTTTTTTTTTTTTTTTTTGTCTTTTTCATTTTTATCGGTACCAGGGATCGAACTCACGACCGCACACTTGCAAGGCAGGCGCTTATGCTGCTGAGCTAAATCCCCAGCCCCATGCCATACTATTAATCAGAACACAAGGTCCAGTTGAGGCTGGGGGCGAACAGCTCGGGTCTGGGTGCAAGAGTCAAAGGCCCAGAGGCTGGAAATGTGCAAAGCAGCAGTGCCACAGCCCGGCCCCCGTTTCCCCTGCAGGCCTCATGGAGACGTCCAAGCTGACTGCATGCCTGGCTGGGGCCATTGGCAGCCTGCAGGAGGAGCTGGCCCAGGAGAAAGCCCAGAAGGAGATGCTGCTGCGGCAGTGCGCGCGGCTGCAGGAGAGCCTGGCCCGGGCAGAGGTGCACATCGAGGGCCTGCGCCAGCTGGAAGCTGACCACAGCCGCATGAAGTGTGAGGCCAGCGCCCACTTCCACGAGGTGCTGAAGCTAAAGGACGAGATGCTGAGCCTGTCCCTGCACTATAGCAACACCCTGCAGGAGAAGGAGCTGGCCACCACTCGCTGCCGCACCCTGCAGGAGGAGGTAGCCCTGCCAGGCCCTGCCTGATCCTGCTCTTGTACTTGTGCTGGTACAGCTGGCTGCCTCCCCCACAGCCAGCAGCCCTCTGCTACAGCCCTGCGGAGGCCCCTCTCCGCAGGTGGTCACCTCGGTTGCTCTGCACTGCCCTGTAATTGCCCATGAGTGCCAGTGGCCTGGCTAGTCAGAGTCTGGGCAAGGGCAGGCTCCTCTAAGCTCCTTATCACTGGGCCCACCTGTGAGCCACTGCCCCAGCAGTTCAGGGCCCAGGGACAGTCCCTCTTAGGGCCCACCTTTGTCTTCCTCAGACCAGGAGGACAAGAACATCATTGCACCAGGCTCTGCTCCCCTGCTTAGGTGTCCACTTGTTTCCTGCCAGGGTAATGAACTTCGTGTCCACTTCTAAGAGTTCTCTAAACTCGAAGACACCCATTCACATTTTGCCATGTGCTCTTTGCTTTTAATTATGCTATTTGTTCGCACTTACTTGTCATTTATCATTGTGCTAGGTTCTGAAGCCAGAGCTTTTGCACTGAGCTGCATCTGCAGCTCTTTTTGTTTTTATTTTGAGACAGTTTTGTTGAGTCATTAAGTTGCCCAGGCTGGGCTCAAATTTGAGATCTGCCTTCCTCAGCCTAGGGCTGCAGGCATGTACCTCCACACCTGGCTCTGTTGTTTGCTTTTGAATTTTAATTATTTATGAATAATTATGTATTTATTTTTAAAAATTAAAATAATACAAAGAATACCCACATACCCTTACTTTCACATTTACCTTGTCTCTGTCTCTTCACACATTAGCCCAGGCTGGTCTTAAACTTGCAACAATCCTCCTGCCTCAGCCTCTTGAGTGCTGGGATTATAGGAGTCCACCACCATGCTTGGCTTAATTTACAGTTTGTATTTCTGTTTTATCACTGACCTAAATCACGCCCTGGCCAGCTTTTTCCTCTCCAGTCCAGGGTCCCATGTTATTGTCATGCTTCCTCTTTACTCTCCTTCGATCTGAAACATTCCCATACTCTTTCTGTCTGTTACAAGATGAATGTTTTCGAAGGACACAGCCCTCTCCCCTTGTTTGTCAGTTTGTCTGAGACAGCACCTTGCTTTGTAAGTCAGGCTGGCCTTCAACTCGTGGCCTTCAACTCCTGCCTTAGGCTCCTAAATCCTGGAATTACAGGTGTGCCCATTGCACCAGTCCCTCTTTGTAAACCCCATTGGGGTTCATCTCATGCCTCCCCTGGGGTGGAGGCTTTGTGCCTTTGGCCTGGCCCTGCCTTCGGGGTGCTAGAGGCTCCTTTGCCCCGGGGGGTTGTCACTATAGCAATCTGCTCAAAGGGTACCCATTTCTGCACTGTGGAAGTGCTGGTAAGGGAAGTGCTTTGAGACTCCGAGCATCTACCGTTCACTGGCATTTCCCCCACACTTCACTGTGCTGCTCCTGGCCTGAACACCCTGCCTAGGCAGGCACAAATGCCCGTCTATGGAGCCCACTCCCTCCCACGTGTAGCTGGCTTCGGCTTCAGACAGGGACAGTGCTTCCCTTTCCCCACTGTGCCACCCACTGTCGGCACAGACCTGAGATCCCTATTTTCCAGCAGCCCATGATGAGTCTGTGCTTGAGTGATCACAGACCTGGCCGGTAGGAGCTCTCTCGGCTGCTCCAGGTCCTGTGTCACACCTGCCTCGTCTTCTAGCACTGACTTTTTTTCTAGCATCCAAGAAGTTCCCAGGTCATCTTGTCCCCACCCTGAGCCCGCTCTGGGGTCCATTAGAAAACAAGATCTAGGTACTCAGCCTGTTCAGTAAACAGTGGGAGACACATGTGCAAGCACACATCTGTGTCCACACACAGATAAATGCACACATGCAGGTGACCTCACACGGACACTGACATGCCACACATACACATGTGCACATCTGTGTATAAATGAACATGCACACTCAAGCACACAAATTCACATCCACGTGCACCTGCACATATCTGTACATAGAAATGTGCATGTGCACACATGCACACATGTAGAAGCATGTGTGTCCATGTGCACTGTGTGGACACTCATACATGTACGCATACACTTGTGCAGCACATGTTCATACTACCGTCATACATATGTACAATACATGTCCCACAGATGGCCACACGTGACTTCCCACCTGTCCCACACTCGGGTCTTCTGTCTTTCCCAGGGAACCAGTCCCAGCATCTTCTGCACATCACTCGCCCTCTCGGTCCTGCGGCACATCTAGAGCAGGTCCACAGTCACTCCACCCACGTCTGAATAGGTCCCCCTTCCGGCTGGCTTGACCCCTCCCTCATTTTTCTTACTGATTTTCATAAACCCTATTCCCTTTGTGTGATTAGAATGTGGGGAGGTTGTGACGCCAGGGAGTGTGCTGGCTGACATCACTGTCAGTTTGGCCAGAAAGATAGAGGAGCCCAGCCTCTGTTCCCAGGCACCTCACCAGGCGGTGCAACCACTACACCTCATCTACAAAACAAAACTGAAAGGTCTTCCCGTTCCTGAGAGGAACTGGGACTGTTCACTGGGTAAAAACAACCCTTGGGTGGATTTTTATTCATTTAATGTATTTCTCTAAAAATATTTATTTATTTTTGGAGTACCCAGGATAGAACCCAGGGTCTCAACGCTGAGCTGCTTGGCCAGTCTTTTGTTTCCCCCAGTCTTTTAAAAACTTATTTGAGCAAGTGTGAGGTCCTGAGTTCAATCCCCAATACCACAAAGAATAAAAACAAAAACAAAAACAACTTATTTTGAAACAAGGTCTCACTAACTTGCCCAGGCTCCGCTTGAACTTGCAATCCTCCTGCCTCAGCCTTCCAGAGAGCTGGGATTATAGGCCTGTGCTCCTACATCTGACATTTGTTCATAATTCGTCGGGTGGAATCCTATGTCTGAGCAGACCACATCAGAGGAGGATGGGGAGCCTACCTGGCTTCAGCTCTAGTGGAGAGACTCCTCCCCTTGTCTCCCTCTCTCCTCCTGAGACAGCTGTACCTGGCAAGGCAGGAGTTGCAGCGGGTGGACATGGTGTCTTCCTGCGAATGGGAATTCCGGGAGCGGTCCCTGAAGATGGCCTGCGACCTGGAGCCGGGGGACAAGGAGCTGAGCCGCCTGAAGGAAGAGAACCAGAAGCTCCGCTCGCTGACTTTCAGCCTGGTAGGTTGTGGGTCCCTCCGGCCTAGGCTCTAGCTGGGATTGACCTCACCGTCCCAAGTGGCTCCTGGGCCACTGTACTGCTGACAGGGGAATGCACGCCATTCCCTCCTCTTCCCCAACCCACTTGGTTAGTTCCCTGCTGCCATGATGTTTGGACAAGACTGAGCCAGCTATGAGGGACAGGATTAGGGGGAAGTAGCCATCCTGCCCAGAAGCCATTCTGCCCTCCTGCCCCGTCCTGAGCATTATTGGGAGTAGAGAGGAATTGGCAGCATTGCAGCCTAGAATGAGGCACTCCACTGATTGATTGATTGACTGACTGAATGATTGCTTTTTGTGACAGGGTCTTGCTATGTAGATCAAGCTGTCCTTGAACTCATTGTGCAACTGAGGTTGACCTCAAACTCACTGTGATCTTCCTGCTTTTAGCCTCCTGAGCGCTGAGATTCTAGGTGTGCACCACCACACCTAACTTGTAAAGTCTTTATTTATTTCTCCTTTTTGACTCCTATCAATAAATACCTGTCTAGCTAGTGAGAAATTCCATTCATGGACACTCACCAGGCACAGGGCCTGGCCCACCTGGAGCCTGGCTTGTGCCATCATTCCTATGCTCCTTCTGGGGTGTAAGCAGAGATGAGGAGGACCTGTCCCCTGGCTTTTCTCACTCGGCAGGTGCACTGCCAAAGGAGAAGGCTGAATTATCTTTTTTTCTTTCTTTTTTGAGATAGAGTCTTGCTTTGTGGTGCAGCTTGGCTTGAATTCACTATGTAGCCCAGGGTGACCTCAAACTCCCGGTGACCTCCAGTCTCAGCCTCCTGAGAGCTGGGATTACAGACATGTGCCACCAATTCCCAGCTAGAATGTCTTAAAGGAAGAATTGTCATCCCAAGATGTTTTCAGCTTCTCTTACATACCTCTCTTTAACTATAAGCGATCAGAACCCACACCTTTCTGTGGTCTTTTCATGCCTAGTTGATGTTACTGGGTGACACTATCCACCCTGGCCCGTGTCCTTGATGTCTCCTGTGCCAGGTGCTCAGGGCCTGTTCTCCCCAGGCCCAGGCATCTGTGGAGGGTGGGTTCTTGGCTGACCTCTTTCTGACCAGGTGGAGAAGGACATTCTGGAACAGGACCTGGATGAGGCCCTGGAGAGCAAGCAGGAGCTGGTAGCCCGTATCCACTCGCTGCGGGAGCAGGCGGCGGCCGCAGAGAGGCAGCGGAAGCAGGTGATGCTGTGGCTGCCACCCTGGGCCTGGTGACCCTTTGTCTCAGGGGCTGGGCTGTGCGCCAGGGAGGTAGAGCTCTCCGGTCCATTGAGATGAAATGACTTTCTTACATACTTACTGGTCTACTCACCCGTAGGGAGCACGAACTCATGATCAGACTAGAGGTCACAGTTAGGCAAAGGGATTGAAACTCAGGATGATTTTAAGGGGTGGGGAGCCCTGTGAAAGTCAGGGATTTAAATGAGAGGCAGCTGGAGACAAAGCAGGCAGTGGAAGAGAATAAGGCAGGTTGAGGGATGTTTTCTGTGTAACTGAGAACATTAAATAAAACGCCACTCTGTGTGCACCATACACGCATATTTCAGTGACTGAATGCAGTGCAATTTGCCTAGCAGTCCTCTAACTGCTCGGTAAACCTGGACCTGCAGGGAGGAGCAGGAATTTACCTTCCTCCACTTCTGGAGTCGTCCCTACCCCCCCCCCCCCCGTATGTGGAGCCCCTGACTCCACAGGCTGTGTCTCTTCTGTCCAGTACTGGGAGGAGAAGGAGCAGACCCTGCTGCAGTTCCGAAAGACACAGGTGGACTGCGAGCTATACAGGGAGAAGATGAGCACGCTTCAAGGCCAGGTGGCTGAGCTGCAGAAGGAACGTGACCAGGTGACCCTGGAAGGGAGGCTGGGCAGGGCTGGGAAGGACACATGGTGTCTTCCCCTACTGGGCTTCAGCTTGGGAAGTCCCTGCCCCATCCTGCATCTGCTGCTTTAGAGAAGTCTCAGGACTCCACCCGTCCTTGAAGGTCACTGGTTCCAGATTTCGGGGTCTCATTCCATGGTCCCCATTAGGGTTCTTTTTTGTGTGTGTGTGTGTGGTTTTTATTTTTATTGGTACCAGAGATTGAACTCACGACTTCCTGCTTGCAAGGCAGGTGCTTATGCCACTGAGCTAAATCCCCAGCCCCTCCCATTAGGGTTCTTAATTCCACCATCCTGTCCTCTAGCAACATGTTCTGCCACCCTCCCTGACTTACACCTGGCCGAGGACCTTGGGTAAGTCTGCCCCCCAGAGCCAGTTTTATTAAGACCACATGCAGCTGGGCGCAGTGGTAGCTGCCTGTAACCCCAGCACTTTTTTTTTTTTTTTTGTCTTTTTCCTTTTTATTGGTACCGGGGAGCGAACTCATGACTGCCTGCTTGCAAGGCAGGCACTTATGCCCTTGAGCTAAATCACCAGCCCCCAATCCCAGCACTTTTGAGGACGAGGCTGGAGGATAGTATTTTGAATATTACTCTAGGCAACTAACTTGGCAAGACCCTGTCTTCAAAAAGGCAGGAGCTTGGGATATAGCACAGTGGCAGAGAGCTGGGTCCAATCACAATCCTGGGACAACAAAAAAGCTTTATGACATTGGTCAATTAAAATGAATTGTAGGTTTGTATGTCTTAGCATGAGCTCTGTTAGCATGTGTTGGGTGAGTTCACGATAAACGGTGACCAGTAGTGGGATGCTTTCTCTAGCTCAGACTCCCTGGGCTCACTGTCTCCCTGTATTTGTTCTGTCTGTCTGTCCTGTTGGGGGCCACAGGCGTATGCCGCAAGGGACAGAGCCCAGATGGAGAGTTCCCAGAGCCTGCTGGAGAAGGACTCCCTCCGCAGGAAGGTGTTCGAGCTCACAGACCAGGTCTGTGAGCTGCGCACTCAGCTGCGCAAGCTCCAGGCGGAGTCCCCAGCCGGGGTGAGTGCTGCATGGCCCTGGGGAGGGCCATGGGGGACCCGCCCTTCCCACAGGGGTCACCTCGGCCTGGCCCTGCCTCCATACCCTCCACAGGTGGCTCCCATGTCAACTATACTTAGGGTCTTTATAGTGTGCATGGTGTGTGTGTGCGTGTGTGTGTGTCTACGTCTGTGTGTGTAACAAAGACAGGGAGGGCAGACACCGAAACAGCAAGCTGTGCCAGTTCTGAGTGTGGGATGATGGGTGAGTTTTATTTTCATTGGTTCTGTTTTCCCCGCTCACTTTTCTAGGTAGAGGCATATCTGTATACTATACAGTTAAGATGATTTTTATAACCAGCAAATAACAGTGAACATTTACTAAAAGAAATGAAGTGCTGTTTCTCAGGCCAAGGGCCTCCAGCTTCCTTGGTGCTTGGTTCTGTGCCCCTGGCATCCCCTGCTCTGGGGACAGGGACAGAACTATTTTATCTGGATGCTGATGAGAGGACGCTGACGAGGGCAAGGATGGCAGGGCAGGTGTGGCCTGGTGGGGAGCCCCCTGGTATTCCAGAGGGAACCTTTCCACCAACTCATCAGCCTGTCTGACACCTCTGGCAGTTCCAGCCAGAAGCCGAGGCTCGGGCGCCCTGCCCACGGGGGAAGCCGAGGCTGGTGCGGATGCATGCTGTGTGCCCTAGGGACAACAGTGACAGTAGCCTCCAGGGCTCCACTGAGGTACGTGGCTCCTGCCCACATGCCCCTTCCATGTGTGCCCATCCTCCTTCTGCCCTGGGCCTGGCAGGGCCCCAATGGCTTTAGAGGGCCCTGAGGGCTCTTCCTGCCTCTCCTTGCTCTGGCCGCTCCTCACAGTCCTCGGCTGTGGGCACATCCTCTGGTCTCCGCCACTCTCTTCATGCAATGCTCCTCCCTGTGTCTGTGCCTATATTTCTCTCCTCTTAGAGACTGCTAGGCTGGATGCAGGGGTGCACACCTGTGATCCCAGAACCCTGGGAGACTGAGGTAGGAAGATCATGAGTTTGTACTTAGTTTGAGCAACTTAGTGAGATCCTATCTCTAGATAAAAAGCTCTGAAAGGCCTGGGGATGTAGCTGGGGTCACAGGCACAAGCCCCCACACCCGGCATGTGACCCGTGCTGAACTCACCCAGCAGCCCACTGAGGCAGGTCAGCTGCCTTCGATCCTCTCCTCTCCTGACCTCTCCTCCTCACCGAGTTTTTAGTCTGGTCACTCTAGGAGCACCCTCTGGGTCTCTGCAGTGCCACCACTCTGTCTGGGACATGCCACACATATACCTGGCTCCTCCATGTCACTTATTCCAGGAAATCTGCCTGGCCTCCCCGCCCTGCCAGTGTCACCCACACCCCTGGTCCCAGCTCTGGTGTGACAGCTCTGGTAGTGGTCCCAGCTCCACTCACTGGTCTATGTGTGCCTGCTGGTCTCCCACCCTCGTGCCTGTCACGAGGGACATGTCCACACTGGCAAAGGCCTGGCACTCAGATTCAGTAGGTGGATTCGAATCTGCTTGTGGGCGCAGCCTCCCTCCGTGGGGCTCTTGCTCTACCCCGCACCTGTCAGTGGCTCTGCCTCTCTGGGCCCCATTTGCTTTACACAAGGTGGCACCATAAAACCCACATCACAGAGGTCTCCTAGGAGTCCACCATATTAAACAGGAAAGTAGCCTCGGAGCACCTGCACACAGTGGGTGCTCAGTGCCTGTGCTCTCGCTTCCCCTCCTGCTTGGCTTCCTCCGTGCGGCTGCCCTCCATCACCCTCCTCCAGTCCCAGCTCTGGTGGGACCTGAGCACCACGTCCAGCCGTGAGCCGGCCAACAGCTTCCGCTCTGCCAGCCCTGTGCCCCCGAGTCAGCAGTCCCTGTACAAGCGGATGGCAGAGGTCTTACAGGAAGACCCCGAGTCTTTAAGGTAGAGCGGGATGCAGCTCACTGGGGACACAAAGCCAAACCTCGGATAAAAAGGGTGTTGGATGCAGCTGCTCAGGGGGTGCTGGGAGCCCTAGGCCTCAGACATAGCAGCCCTGCAGCCTGAGCTGCTTCCTATGCTCTGCAGCAGCTTCCCAGAAATCCTGGAGGTGGACCCAGGCATCCCTCCAGGGACTAAAGTGGACCTGGACACAGACCTGGATTATGAGATCCTCGACAAGGCAGGTAGGCGCTCCTCAGCCCACACAAGCCTCCCTGGAGCAGGGAGTCCAAGGGCCAGAGTGTCTGGGTTGCGGTGAGACAGCCTGACAGGTGGAGGGGCCAGGACCCCTGCCCTGGGCCTTGACCTCAGCCCCTGGGACAACCAGAGCCTGGTGGCTCAATCCCAAGCTCGGTTCACTGTGATTTTGTTTTTGACTTAGAGGCCAAGGGAGCTATATTCATAGCCATGGCCAGCACGGCCCGCGAATTCAGATGTCTGCAGGCATTTCTGCCCCTGCCTGGTGCTCTGCTCTGTGGACACTTGGGCCTCCCAGCATATCCAAAGGCTATGGGCTTAGGAGACCAGAGGCTCCTAGCATCTATACTTGGCCCAGACTGACGTCCATGCTCCAGGAGCACCCCTCCTCTTGGACATTGGCCCCTGAGCCTCACACTTCCTGGGGTTTATTTCCTTGAACCAGTCCAGCAGCCCCTGGATGTGTCTTTTCACCTTTTCTATCACTACACATGGCTCCAGCTGACCTCCCTGCTGGAATCTCATTCTTGGCCACCAAAGGGCATGGGTACCTGACCCTGCTCTGTATGTACCCCTTACCTAGGGTGCAGGGAGGCAGTCAGGTGACAAGAAACCTTAACTCTTGCAGATCCATGCACATTTTTACTTGTAATAGTGACAAATTAAGAATGCCCACTCGAGGCAAAGTTAGCCTACGCCGGATGTGGTGGCACAGTGCACACCTGTCATGGTGGCACTTGGGAGGCTGAGGCAGGCAGACTGCTGAGAGTTGGAGGCCAACCTGGGCTACATAGTGAGTTCAAGGCCAGCCTGCACTGCAAAGCAAGATCCTGTCACCAAAAAAAAAAAAAAAAAAAAAAAAAGAAAAGAAAAAAAGAAAAAGCCAGCCCAGAAGTGAGATCATGAAGGAGGAGGGCTTGCTCCTCTTTATTTTTCTACTGTGGGATTCTGCAAGATGCCTTGGTTTCACTTTCTGACAGTGGAAAATGACCTCAAATATGTCTGGAGTGTGCAACCTTTTTTCTGGTACTGAACATTGAACCCAAAGCCTTCACACTAAGCTACCTCCCAGCCCTTTTTATTTTTTATTTTTAGGCAGGGTCTCTGTAAATTGCCCAGGTTAGCCTAGGACTTGCAGCCCTCCTGTCTCAGCCTCCCAGAATGCCGAGATCACAGGTGTGCATTCCACGCCTGGCTTGACTTTGAGTGGACTTTTGCCCGTGAGCCGGGCCCAGTCCGCCTGGTTCTCACAGGCAGTTTTCGGGTGAGAAGTACAGCCACCAGGCTGCCCCCTGCTCTGGGTCACAGCTGTGATTAACATCTACCCAGTGCCAGTGATCACTGCCATGCAGAAATGCAGGCCCCTGCAGGGGCACCGGCTCATGTCGGGTCAGATTTTATTTTTAAGTGAAACCCAGGTTGTAGGTGAAATTTTCCTATCTTTGAAGACATCAGCAGCTCATTCACAAAATGACACATGCGGCTCCACCTACTCTGACCTTAGGAAAGATGAAATCAGGATGCTACACACAGAGGGAAGGGGAGGGAGCAGGAAGAGAACAGCCAGCCTCAGCAAAGCAGATGGCCAGGCAAGGGGTGCTGGAGGCGGGGCACAGGTCTGAGGCTGTGTGAGTTAGTGGCAGTAGCCACGGCTGACCGCAAGGCCTGGCCGCTCCACTCCCAGTTTCTTCCCAGACCTCCCTGAGCCCGAGGGCAGCCTGCAGTGCTCTTCCAGAGACCTCAGCACCTCAGAAAGGTGAGAGTGGTGGGGGCCCGTCCACTGCTGGAGTCGGGAGGTGACGGAGCAAAGTGTGGCTGTGTCCTCCCACCACGGGAGGTGACAGCCTTTCCACCATGGGTCATGGTAGGGAGGAGAATTCCAGAGGTGAGGGCAGAGGGCACTGTGGGAATGGCTTTGCGCAGTACCTGCCTGAGCAGCCCTCAGCCATCATCTGCTCCTGTAACAGTGTCCCCGTGAGGCGGAGGCCAGCGCGTAAGATCCTGAGTCAGGTCACAGTGCTGGCATTCCAGGGGGCCGCACTGCTGGAACAGATTAGTGTCATCGGTGGGAACCTCACAGGCATCTTCATTCACCGGGTCACCCCGGGGTCAGCAGCAGATGAGATGGCCTTGCGCCCAGGCACCCAGATCATGATGGTGAGCAACCAAGGCCTCAGTAACCAGACTCTCTGGGTCCTGCGCTGTGCGTGCGTCCTCACCTGCTGTCCAGCTCTATCGATGGCTGATGGGAAGTGCTGCACTCCCTTCCGTGGAGGCTGGTGTGAGCTGGGTGTGGTAGTGCATGCCTGTAATCCCAGCACTCTGGGAAGCTGGGTTAAGAGTTTTGTCCCAAAATGTTAAAAAATATAAAAGAAAAGAACAAGTGCTAGGGTGTATTTCAGTGTGAAGACCCTGGGTGTGATCTCGGGAAAGCGATGGTTGTCGCAGGGAAGCTGTCCTGCATGGGGGAGGGAGAGCATGAGCCATAACTCTGGGGCAGAGGTGCGTGGTGGCCATCTGTGCAGCTTGCAGACGCTCCATACATGACCTGGCAGATGGCCTATGGCCAGGGCCCTCATCATGCTTCTGTGGTGGCCAGAGACAGCCAGGAGGTTTTGCAGTAGGGTCAGCTGCCCTGCCCCATCACACCATTCCCCGCCCCCCAGCATCCTAAATGCGTGCTGTGACCACAGAGTCCTGGTCACCAAGACCTCTACCCTCACACATTGCTCTAGGTGAACCATGAGGCATCAACACCCTCGTTCAAGGCCGCCCTGGAGAACACCACGCTGGAGCAGGCAGTCAGGCTCCTGGGCAGAGTGACTGGCTTCTGCTGCCTGACTGTGAAAGTCAACACTGAGGGTACAGGCGCCTCTTGTCCAGTGAATCTCAGTCTCTGTGTGTCACAAGCAGCCCACCATAGCCAGGAGCCGCACAACCAGGCTGTGCCTCATCCTGGAGCCCCCGAGGCAGCTATAAGCCCCCCACCTGCTAACTGCAGCACCACAGAGAGCTGCTGAGACATTGGGGGGCCCTTCCTTCCCTCTTGCATTCACCTTTCAGAACCTTCCCTGTGTGGCTTAGAGGTCTGTGCTCATTAGCCCTTCTTGTTTTTGTTTGTTTGTTTTAATCAGGTTATAAGAAGTTGGTCCAGGACCTGGAGGCCAAAGTGGCAACCTCAGGGGACTCATTCTACATCCGGGTCAACCTGGCCCTGCAGGGGCGAGCGGAGGGAGAACTGCAGGCATATTGCAATGATGTCCTACATGTCACTGACACCTTGTTCCAGAACCACAGCTGCTGGCATGCATACCGTGTCAACCCGTACACCATGAAGACAGCAGAGCATGGTGCCATCCCCAACTACTCACAGTAAGCAGCTTTCCCGAGCTCTGTGTGTCCCCAGGAGGCCCATATCTGCCAGGCCTGGCTGCACGGGACCCTTGGAGGCTTCTCTCCCTACAGCAAAGCCTCCTGCCCAAGAACGAAGTGTAGGAGGGGTGGATACCCCAGAGGAGAACTCCACCATGTCCACTGCTGCCGACCAGGTGCTTATGACAGTGCTCTGTCAAGAGCACCGACTCAGATCATTCCAGAGCATTCTAGAGAGACACTTCTCAGTGCCATTGGCATCTGGTGTTGTCCTGGGTACTGTAGGATGCTGGCAGTGTCCCTAGCCTTTATACTTACTAGGTGCCAGAAGCATCCCCCTCTCAGCTGTGATGGCCAAACGTGTCTCCATGCATTGCCAAGTGTCCCCTGGAGTGGAAAGACCAGTCCTGCTAGCTTTCCTAGGACTAAAAGCTCCGTGTCTGGGATAATTCCTTTGTCCTGGGCAGACCAAGCCCAGTGCCCAGACCCCAGGAGGGGACCTGCACTGAAGCATCATCCTGTGCAACCTGATGGGAACCTCAAAGGTTTGAATGCACAGAGAGGCCATGTACCCCAGCCCTCTACCTCTCCGTGATCTGATTAAAACAGGCGCTCCCTGAGGATCCAACTCATCAGGTCTAGCAGAGGCCATGTCCTGCACCTCCAATGCTGCTGCCAGCTCCCCATACTGCAAGGACCGAGGCTGCCAAGCAGGCCCTTGGCCCTGGCAGCTCAGCAGGGCCCCTGGGGCCCATTCCAAACAATTTGGCTAGCATCTGGGCTGAGGTTTTAGTGTCTTATTCAAGCTCCAGGGACTCTAGGGGCTGCCAGGATGGAGCACCCTTGCCAGGGGCCACTTCCCTCACTCAGTGCTCCTAGCTGAGGCAGGTCCAGCAGTGGGTTAGGGCCTCTCCTGTCCACACAGGGCTCAGCAGCGCCTCATTGCCCTCATCCAGGACATGACTCAGCAGCGCACTGTTACCCGCAAGGTGAGGCTCTCAGGGGAGGACCCCAGTTCCCTGAGGTGGGCTGGAAGGGAGCTGACCAGGGTCCCACATGAAAAGTGTGGTCTGTACCCCTTACCCAGCCTGCAGGTTGGGTCCTCCTCTCTGAGGCCACTGCTTCTGGGTTTTATGTCCCAGGCCACCCAATTCACCTGTTCTCCTCCCACTTCCCATTTCCTCAGAGGTCAGTCACCTGTGTTCTTGGAACAGGGCGCTCTGCAGGCTGCGAGTGCCCACCTCTCCCCGTGCTGGGCCTGTCCTCTGTGGAGCACAGTAGTGCTAGGCTGTGAGGTTCTATGCCACCCTCTGGCTTTTGTAGAGCCCTACTTGAGGCTGTCTCCTGAGGACCCTTTCCTGCCTCCTAACCCCTGCATGGGGCCTGGGCATTCTGGCTGACAGTGTGGGGACCACCACACTGATTTTCTTATGGGGTGATGCTGCTGATGACTTCAGTTCCCCTCTTTGTCCTCTCCCATGTCCCCTTGGCAGTCTTTGGGGGGCCCACAGAAGTTGGTGCGCATTGTGAGTGTGGACAAAGCCAACCCCCCAAGGTCGTCCTTTGACAAGAGCCAGCTGAACCCCAGCAGCCTGGAAGGTGAGGCCTGGTGAGTGGGCACTGAGGGTGCAGGCCCCCGTAGGTGAGGTCTGTGGCCTTTAGGAAGCACTGCTGGTGGTCACCTTTGTCAGGTGAGGCCTCTCCTACGGGTCAATTTTTGTTTCTAAGAATATAACTGACATCCATGTGCCTTTCCAGACAGCAACTGAGCACTTATCTTTGATGTCCTTTAAGCTGTCACTTATCTTTGATGTCCTTTAAGCTGTTTCTGTTTGTTTTGTTTTTGAGACAATGTCTCATTACATAGCCCAGGGTAGCCTTGAAATTGCAATCCTACTCCCTCAGTGTCCCAAGGGCTGGAATTACAAGCATGCACCACCATGCCTGGCTAAAATCCCCCCTTTATTTTTTTTCAAGTTTTATTAGTGCATGTTTGCAGTACATAATGATTACATTCCTCATGGGGTGTTGGCACATGGACAGAATACATCTTAATTCTCTTTTCACCACCTTCCCCTCTCTCACCCCTCCTTCCCTCTCTTCCTTCCTTCCTTCCTTCATCTCATCCCTGGCCTGATTCCCATCCTCCTACTGCTGTGCTAGGGATAGAACCCAGGGCCTGGCACTTGCTAGACAAGTGCTGTGCCACTGAGCTACATCCCCAGCTCTGACATGCCAGTTCCTATAAACTGTCCGAGTAAAAAGGTCCAGAAGTGATCCATGTGATTAGATCAACAGCAGACTTTCTGGACTAGTAAAACCTGACAACTGTGAAATGTCCAACATTACAAAAACCAGGGGACCCCTGGGATACTGAGTGGTCCATGTGTGCACAGGGAAGGCTAGAGGTTGCAGTAGCAGGGTCCTCAGCAACCGGGTAAAACTGCATAATGCAGAAGTTAATTTAGAGGCAGGCAGATCACTTTGACTTTATGTTCCCCTTTAAGTGTTTTTTTTTTGGTGCATAATATAAGATGGCTGTTGAAAACAGTAGACTGACATAAAGGCTCCAGAGAGGACTCAAAGGACCAGAAGAAGGGAAGCCGGGCCTGTACACTGTTGAGGACTCAGGAGAGGGCAGGGTTGAAGGGGATGGGGCTGTGCAGGGGGAGGAGCTGAGGATGGAAACGGTGGAGCCGAAGAGAGGGCTGGGAATGAGGTGGGCGGAGCTGATGAAATGGGCAAGGCTTAGGGAGGCTGGGGGCGTGGCTCTTGGTTTCTCTGGAAGGAAAAAATCTGCCACCTTCTATCCTTGTAAGCCAACCAAGGTTGAGCGGATAAACTGCAACCTGCAAAGCTGGACCTGAAAAGCCACGGAGCATTTAATGGACCAGTGTAAGGAAATCACCAGGCAGTGGGTGGGAGTGCGTGCTCACTCAGAAGTGTGCTCACTTAGAGCTCAGGGTGTCTGTTACTAGGTGCTCGGCCTCATCCGTCAGTAAACCTGGCCCCACTACCTGCTGCAGCCTGCAGCCTGACGGGTCTCTTTCCTCTCCCCCACAGACCACACCAGCACATGCTTCTGGGCAGAGAGCTGCTTCACCCTGGCGCCCTATAGCCTGGTGCACCCACACAAACCCAGCCAGCCCCGGCCTGTAATCTTCTTGCCCAGGATGGTCGGGAAGATCCTGAGCAGAAAACTGAGCCTTCGCCAAGGATTTAAGACGTGCCCAGCAGGTACGGTCTACCCTGTGAGAGAGGCATAGATGTGTACATGTGTATCCACATGCAGCTGTGTGCATGAGCGTGCACATGTGTGCTGTGAGTGGACACACAAGGATGTGGCTCTGCACGTGCATGTGTGCCCGTGTGCATATGTTGGGGTGTGGCACGTGGCATACGTGTGTGCAGTGGCCCAGCGAGGCTATGGAAAGGGCCTTTCAGAGGCCTCCTCGGTCTGCAGGGGAGCAGCACGAGGGTTACTCTGCATTTCCGAGGGCTGCTGTAGCAAAGACCACAGCCTGGAGGTGTAGAGACAGAGGAGGGCAGACATCCAGCATCGTGGGGCCAGCGGCACCCTGTTCTCTGGAGGCTCCAGTGCAGAGCCTCCTTGCCTCTCCCAGGGCACTTGGCGTCCTGCACCTGGCTGCATCCATCCATCCCAGCCTTGGCTATGTGGCCTTTCCTTCTTGTGTTCCTGAGTCATCACGTGGCCACCAGTGGATTTAGAGCCCTCCTTAACCCGCTATGACCTCATCTGGCCCTCTGTAAACACCCTTTTTTCTAGTAAGGCCCCCTGGAGACCTGAATAGACATGAGTGAGTGTGTTGCCCCTCCCCCAGCAGTCCTGTCGGCATACAGGCTTATCAGGCAGCAAGGTGCAGCAGAGTCTGCTCAGCAAGAAGGCCAAATTGGCAGGGGCTGGATTAGAGCTGGGGTGAAGAGGGCCCCTGGCCCACCCTGGACATCCACAGAGGAGCAGATGAGGCAAGTGAGTCCTCATCTGAACACCTACCACATGCATGGACTCCATGGGGCAGCTGAAGATCCTCAGCACAAGAAGCCCTCTCGAGTCCAGCAGCTCTTTAGAAGCTAAAGCCAGGTGAGATGGCACACACCTGTGATCTCAGCACTCTGGGAGGCCGAGGCAGGAGGCTCGAGAAAGTGTGAGTTCAGGCTGGGCAACTTAGCAAAACCCTGACTTAAAACAAAAATAAAAAATGAAATAAAGTGTTGGGGATATAACTTGATGTGAAACCCTTAGGTTCAATCCCCAGTACATGGTGAGGAGAGAAGTAGCTGCCTGAACACAGAGAGGAAGACAGGTGGGATGAGCCGACACAGACACACCTTGAGCTTTAAAATGGCCAGAAAGGGGCAAAGGATTCTGGGAGGTGCAAAGCTAAACTGGAATGGGGCAGACAGGTAGGGGTTGGTAAACAGACAAGTGGAGGAGGCAGTCTGGGCAGTCTCGGGCCATGTGCAGGCCAAGGCCCACAGCACAAGGGGCCCAGGCAGCTGCATTGGGTGGGTGTCCCTGGGTGGGGCTGGAATTGCTCAGAGCAGACAAGCGGCTTCATCTGATCCCCAGGGCATCAGTGGGAGCTTTAAAAATGAAAATAAACAGTCGGGCTGGGTCTATAAATGCTCCCCTCAAAGGCAGAATGAGGGTGGCTGAAAGAAGGGCCCAGCCAGGGGTCAGAGGATGAGCTCTGCCACTGGAACCTGGGGCTAGCTGAGGTGCTGGAAATGCCATTGTGGGGGAAGCGGTAGCCCCAAACTGTGTGCCAGCCGGCAGCCCCTGAATCAGTGCTTCTGGGTGGATAAGCAACTGGGATGAATGCAGGTCCAGAACCAGGAGAACCCACTCAGGAAAAGAGTAAAAGTGGAGAATCTCCAGAAGTTCTGTTTGGCGCAGGATCCTTAGTCTCACTGGAGGACCCCCACCCCCATCATTTATGACAACTGAAAATGCCTCTATGTTCTGCCAGACGTCCCCAGGGGCACAACTGCCCCTAGATGAAAGCAGTGACTTCAGGGCCCCCTTGGAGCTGGGCATGTGTCCACCCTACCCACTGTCACTTCCAGAGTACTTGAGCCAGGAGGAGTATGACGCCTGGAGCCAGAGAGGGGACATCATTCAGGAAGGAGAGCCATATGGTGGCCACTGCTGGGTGACCCGCCATGCTGTAGAGTCGCTCATGCACAAGGTACGGGGTGACCCCGGCTGCTCTGTGGACAGCAGCTTCAGGGCTGGGAGAGGATTCGCAGAAGAGTGTCTGGGGCCCAAACACCCCAGGGGGCTCAGTGGGAGGGACATAGAAAATGCAAGCCTTGCTTCTGCCATTTGGGATCCCAGTGATCTTGGTCCTTGAGCCTGTTTCCTCAATCAGGAGATGTTTAGTAAGTGTCTGCTGAAAAGGCTCAGGTATACAGAAAGATGTTAGCTCTGAACCGTAGCTTCATATTACTCACAGTGTGGGGAGCAGACCTAACCCTAACTCCTAACTCCCTCCCCATGGAGGATGACGACTGGGCTGGAGCTGTCAGATTCCTCAAATTTGTGCTCGGTGCAAAGTCTGCCTCAATCCTGCAGGCTTGCAATTCTGGGTCTTCATTTCAATGGGGAAATTTCAAACAACTGGAAACCCTTAGGGCCGCACAGCAAGCACACAGGAACATGGCATGGCAGTCACTCTTCCCCCTTTCCTCTAGTGACCCTGCCCCTGGGTCCTGTCCCAGCCTGGCCCACGCGGCCCCTCTTGCTCCCTCTGAGGCTGAAGCCCACGAGCTGGGCTCATTCCCTCTTCCTTCTTCCCCAAAGAACACACACGCCCTTCTGGATGTCTGGCTGGACAGTGTATGTGTCCTACACAGGATGGACATCTTCCCCATCATTGTCCACATCTCTATCAACGAGAAGACGGCAAAGAAGCTCAGGTAGGTGTCCGCCAGGGCTGGGCAGTGGAGTTCAGGTGGGTACCTGAGCTTGGTGGAGCTCAGCATGTTTCCAGTGTGCTAAGGGGCTTCTTCCAGATGGCACAGTGCTCCTGTCTTTGGAAGTGCTGAGGGTACTGCTGCCCTCCCCCAGGGGAGAACCTGCCCCCTGTCCTAAAGCCACTGAGGCCACGCAATTCTTGGTACTCGGTCTATCTGTGGGAGGACCCCAAATGCTGAAAACTCCCCCAGTACTTGGTTTCTGGCTCGGGACCAGCAGATATCCTCCCATCCCTTAGCCACTGGAGAGTGGAGCTCTCTCCAAGACAGCCTGTCCCCACCAGTGCAATGCCACTGGGAGCTGGGGCCCCAGCTTCTCCAAAAGGTCCCTTGATGCGGGGCCACTGTCACATCCAGGGGTTTTGGACAGGTGCTGGTGTACCTCCAGCCTAGGCTTGGACCTGGCCACCCTCACTTTCTCTGAGGCTGCACCATCTCTACCACACAGGAAAGGCCTGCAGAGGCTCAGTGTCTCAGAGGAGCAGCTCCTGGAGGCGGCCAGGCAGGAAGAGATGGACCTGGACAAAGTGCCCTGCCTGTACAGCAGCCTGGCCCCTGACAGCTGGAGTGACCTGGATGGGCTGCTGGGCTGTGTTCATCTGGCCATCTTGGACGAGCAGAAGAAGGTGGTGTGGACAGAGCAAAGGCCCTAGTGACGTGATGGCCTCCCTGGGGCTAAAGGATCTCTATGTGCCTGTTAATGCTGCTTCTCCTTTGAGCCAGGGCGTCAGGGAACAGCTGGGGCTGTTTGGCACACAAACCCAGCTCTCCCCTTCCTGAGGTTCTGTGTACCCTCAGCCCTTGTGGGTCAAGTCCTTGGACCCCCTCAGCCCCCTGTGAAAGCCATAGCCACTCTCTACCAGGGCTGGGTGTGGCCTTGCTGGGGGGGCCTGAGAACCTCACTGCAGTATGGGGCAGTGCTTCCCAAGCCCCCAGACCTCCTGGACCCCTGGACAAGTGCTTGTCTGGTTGTGGGGGCTGCTCTTCTTTTTGTATTCAAAGTGTCAAGAGATATCTTCTGAGCCAGCTGGAGCTGCCACCCCCACCCAGGACAGGCACAGGGTGACCCTGGCAGGCTTCTCTCCGCACTGTTGGGTCACAGATACCTGTGTAGCTGCTTGTGAACAGTACCTGTGGTGGCACAGTTGTCCCATGGTCTGTGCCTCCTGGCCTGCAACTCTGGCTCTGAGGATGCAGGAATGTGCTGAGAGCTGGGCACAAATGCCATTGGACAGGCCCAGCAATCTTCTTGGGTGTGAACTGCAGCCCACAGCCCTTGTCCAGGCCCAGGACAAGGCCCAGCCTTGTCCCACTGCCACTTGGCCAGGGAGCGAGCACAACTCAGCCTGGTTCCGGTGAGCATCCCACTTGCCGATGACTCCTGCCTCCCAGGACTATTGTACACTAAATGTCACTTGAACAGTGTCTCTGCATTGGGACATTATCCCACAATTCAAGTTGCTGTTATCATAAATGAATTCCGTAAATAAACTCACGTTTTATTAAAATAAAAAGATGTTTACAGTGCTGGGTCCTGTGGCTTCCTTCCCATCCCCAATATGGAGCTGGTAGGGGAGGAAAAGGGCTGAAGTCCCCCCAAAGAAGAAGACAGCCCACTTTCTAGGTTTCTCCAGGCCCAGCTTCTGCTCCCTCAGCAATGGCAGCAGGGTGGGTATGGAGCCAGATGCGGGTGTCACACAAGGAACCCAAGCCACTGGAGGCACACTGTCTCACCTTCATCCTCAGTCACTCTCAGAAAGGATGTGTGTTGAGTGGAAAGAACACAGGAGTAAACTTGTCACTTTCAAGAATCGGTGAGAATCCTGCTGAGCAGGTACCTATATCAGGAGGAGAAGCAGGACAGGTGAGCCTCAGGTGGTGTGAGACCTGCAGCAGACCCAGTGGCTAAAGGCCCATGTGGCACAGGAAGGCCCAGTCTCCTCAGAGTGAAGGACTCACAAACATCAGTTAGTTCCAAAGACTAAGAGTGTCTCGAACTCCCATTCCTGCCCTCCATCTGCAGATCCCCGCTCTGAAAACAGGCTGGGAGATCCCCACCCCCGGCTTTCCATCACAGGACACAGCTCAGAAGTGGGGCCAGCAGTGTTTCCTTGGGGCAGTACCTGGTGAAGGGCTGGATGTCCATATGTGTGTTTCCCCACCAGGAGAAGCAGGACTCCTGTATATCAAGGAGCCACCTCCGAAAGGAGTGTGGAGGAACGGAAGGGCCAGGTAGCTGCCCCAGGGAGGCATGACAGAGTCACAGTTCATTGTGGAGTGGCCGGCACTGTGGAGAAAGCTTTTCTTCCAGGACACCATCGGGGGCACACACCCAGGGATCGTGGGTCTCCCACTGCCACTTGGCCAGGCGGGTCTTCAGCATTGCCAGCACCTCTGCAAAGTGGGGGTCAGCGGCCAAGTTCTGGGTCTCCCAAGGGTCAAGATGGTCATCGTAGAGCTCCCAGCGCTCCCGATAGTAGTAGTGGTGTAGGTCTTTGTACCAGCCAGTAGGCTGGCCCGCTACAGTGCGGTTCAACAGGTCCTGAAAGGTAGGTGAGATGTAGAAGTCCTGGTCCACAGGAAACGGCATCCGGAAGCTGAGGTTGTGCACAAGGCGGAAGTTCCGGTGGTACACGGAGCGCATGGGGTAAGACATAGTGACTTCATGATGGCTCTGGCTGCCAAACACAGTAGCCCACGGGGGCTCTGTCTCCAGCGCAGGCAGGAGTGACCGGCCTGTAAGCTGAACGGTCTTTGAGCCAAAGATGGCATATGTGGGGTAGGGGATGGAGAACCAATCCAAGATGGTGGGCGTGAGATCTGGGAAGGAGACATGGCAGGGTCAGGGTCCCTGTGGGTCACTGGAACCTGCTCTGTAAGGGCCGAGTCTAAGCCACCCCTCACCCCCTCAAAGCTGACCATCCAGGAGCCCTGATCTGATGAGAACTAGGGTCCTCCTGGCCAGTGTCCCAGCCAGGAGAGGCCCTACTCACTCTGTGCTGTCATCACAGTGCTCCCCCAAGCTGGGGAGCCCCAAGCTGCGGGGAACCTACTGGTCTGAGCAGAACACAGTGGACAGGGCTTGCACTCCAGCCACGCTCACCCTACCTCTCAGTTTCCCATGTCTGTGGTCTGTCTGCTTGCTGGCATGCTGGTCTAGAAAACCCCAGGCCGTGTGGGGGATACACAGGGTCACAAGGGTCTATGGGTCCATGGGAAAGCATGACAGGGTAGTGGCCCAGGAGATGGAGTCCCAGGCCCAAAGCACCAGCACCATCTCGGAACCTGCTGGTCACCCTGGGGGCTGCGGTTCAGCTATTAACAAATCACCTAGATAACTCTAATCCTCAGCCCTAGGTCAGGTGGCTGTCCCTTCCTTGCCCACATGGCAGAAACTCCACTTGAGGTCACGGGTGCAGAGCGAGTGATGATAAATGGCAATCTGACCATGCCGCCCTCCACCCTTCCCATGTAACAGAACCATACCAAGGAGGCTCACGTAGGCCTCGCTGACCTGGCCCCAGCGCTTCGGGTGTTTCGGGGATGACACCAGCAAGGGCTCGGCAGTCCCTGGCCAGTACAGGTTGGTCCTGCCGCTAGGGAAGGGGATTCCATTGTCCGATGTGAAGATCACCAGTGTATCATTCAAGACGCCAGCTCCCCGAAGCTCCTGCAGCACAAGTCCAATCCCTGTGGGGTGGAAGGGCGAGGGATTTGGGCATGTGTTCTCACTTGCCACTATATCATCTGGCCACTGGGCTGTCACCTTCTAGACCTCAAAACACCAGCCCAACCTCCAGCCTAACTCATCCAGCTCCCTGACCTCAAGCAGGTGGCATCGGCCTCCAGGGACCTGATCATCCTCCAGTACTGGTCACACCCAGTCAGCTGAGACCACCCCAGAGCAGTTTCTTTGTTTCCTGGACTATCACTCCCATCCTGTGGAGCAGCGGGTCACCCTGGGCAGGGGCTGGAAGACAGGCTCTCCTCTACTCCTGCTTCCCAGCGCTCACTAACTACTGGTGCCAACAGAGATGTGGCAAAGATACCAATCTCCTGCAAGGGGCTGAATGGTGCCCCCTGCCCCATGTCAACCCAGGACCTGCGAATGTGGCCCATTTGGGTAAATGGACTCTGCAGAGGCAAGGTAAGCATTGTGGGATGAGATCATCTGAGCGTCCAAGTGGCCCCAAGTCCCATGGCCAGAGTCCTTAGGGGAAGTGACACCGACAAAAGAGGAAATGATATTCAGCAAAGAAGTCATGTGAGGATGGGCCCGAGACTGCAAGCTAAGAGACTCAAGGATTTCCAGCTCAGAAGCTGGGAGAGGCAGGGGAGGGCCCTCCATTCACAACTCGGAGCCTCCAGGACTAGGACAGAACAAAGGCTGTCCCAACGGGGCACACTGGTGTGGCAGCCATAAACATGAACCTCTTAACACACCTCCTGCATTCTGCATCTGCATAATCTACACAACCCCGAACCCCAAATCCGACCCAGATCCTTTTGCTGGAAGAGCACTTGGAGTCTTCACCCAAACTCTGGCCAGCCCAGGAGCAATTCTACAGCACCCAGCAGGGTAGGGCTGTCCATCCACACTGACCCTCTGTTATGGTTTAGGTCTAGAATGTCCCCAAGTCTTGTATTCAGAAGTAGGGTTTCCGGGAGGTCCCTGGGTAGGGGAGCTATACTGCTCATCAAAAGATTAGGGTACTGATGAGTTCACAGCTGACAGCTATTAGGGCTCGGGGCCCAGTGAGGAGACAGAATTCACTGAGGGTGTGACCTGGAAGGAAATATCTTCCTCAGCATCTTCCTTCTGTCTCTGCTTCCCAGCTGCCATGGGATGAGCAGATGTCCTTCGTCAGGCGTTCCCACCATGCTGCTTCTGCCGTGGGGCTGGCAGACCACGGCCTGCACCCACTGGAAACTATGAATCAAGTAAATCTCTCTTCCTTTCCATTGTGGGTGTTAGGTATTTTGTTGCAGTGATTAAAAAAAAAAAAAAGCTAATATACCCTAAGGGCTCACACCCTGTGGCAGGGGGACCCACCTAGGTTCGACCCAATCCAGCTGAGTTCCCCAAGGTGGGGACAGAAGCCGTGGTGCACCCCACAGTCATTTCCTGCAACTCACCTTGGTCCATCCGACCGATGGTGGTGTACTGAGCAGCCAGGTCAGCTCGGGCTGCCGGAGTGTCAGGGACAAAGTAAGGCACCTGGGAGGAGCACAGAGGTGGAAAGTCAGGCTCAGAACAGGTTGGGATGAGGGAAGAGAGATGTGCCCTTGAGCCAGGGTAGGAGGAGACCCTGGCCCTCTCCTTGGGTCTGCCACCATCTTCCTCTTACGAATGGCTCAGTCAGAGCAGCCCACCCTGGGTGCATCATTCTGAGCTTCCAGGGCTTCCTGTGACCCCAGAGAGAGGGATGTGAGCCATTTAGTTAGGAGGGATCTCCTCTAATACATCACATCATTTGGGGCAGGGCCGCCAAGCTCTGGGACTTGGTTTTGGGCTGGTCGGGGAGGGGGGGATCTTGGAAACACGGCAAGGGTCCCTCCTACCACCACATCCTGAGGGTTGTAGGTCTGGGGGGTCCAATCCGGGATACGTCCCATGCCGCTCTCCCCGTTCCCAAACTTCTCACAGAAGGCTCCATACTGGGGCTGGGAGTGTCCACAGCGGTGCGGGTCATGAAAGGCCACGTAGAGGAAGAAGGGCCTGGACATGGTGGGGGGTTCTGTTCAAGGTCAAGGTTAGCAAAGCTGACACCTCCCCCCACACACACCTGGCTCAGCCAGTGCCTTGATGTTTTCCTATCCTGGAATACCTCTTTATCTTTTTCTGGTTTTGGGATTGGACCCCGGCCCCACACACTGAGCTATATCCCTACTCCCTTTTTAAAAAATTTTAATTTTGAGATAGGTTCTCACTAAGTTGCCCAGGCTGAGCTCAAACCTACATTCCTCCTGCCTCAGCCTCCTAGAGTGCTGGGATTACAAGTGTGCACCTATCAGGCCCAGTTCAACCCTCTCGGTTTTGCCTGCTCTTATCAATCTACAAGTCTCTCTGTTACCCTCAGTGCCTCCATTTCCCTTTTTTCCTGACTACACCAATGTGAGTATCCATAATCTTCTCCCCCACGCACAGAATCCCCATGTACGCTGTGCATGGCCACGGGCAGTGAAGGGGCGGGGGGGGAACGCTGTACCTGCTGTCCTGAGTCTGCAGGAATTTCCGAACAAGCAGCTTGATTCTTGTGATGTTCCTCCCCACCTGGAGCACAGAGCCATTCTCCTCCGTGTAGGCAAAGTTGAACGGGTACACAGCTTCCGGCCCCACATGCTTCTTCCCGATGATCCCTGAGAGGGACACAAGTGTGGGCAGGAGAGGCCCCTGCAAAGTCCACCCTGCTCCTTCTCTACCCCCAAGTCCTAACTGCTGGGATTGTGGGAGGCAGCCTTGGACCCTGGCTCTCGTGAAGCCTCAGCCAAGCAGGGACATTCAGTCCAGGCCTGGAGACGAGTGTAGAGGGCCTCTGGGGACCTCTGGGGTCTGCAGCACACCCACCTCACCTGTGCGCACCCCGGCCTGGCTGAGCAGCAGCGGCAGGCTCCGCACCTTGTCGAAGGAGTTGAAGTGGTGCACGTCCTGATGCAGCCCGTACATGCCATTCTGGTGCTGCGGGTGAGGGCTGTGTGAGGCTGGGTGCACCTGCCGCCCTCCCGGCAAAGCAGGACCAGAGAAGGGAGGACAGAGCCCGAGGACTGGTGGCTTTAATGTCCTTCTCCAGGTGCACCTGCGCCTCCTGACTTCTCCATCACGAGCACACGTTGCACAGTGAGAAAGACAGCACAGTTTGGCTGCTACCTTTTGGTTCTCTAATCATTTTATATGATAAAGGAAATTGTCATACGTGTTGAACTCAGATGGAAGAGCCGCTTCCCAACACTGCAGCCCACTGCCTGGAAGCAGCCGCTCAGTGGGGCCTTCTCAAGCCCCCAGCATCTCCTGGGGTCTCTTGGAGACAGCGCATCCACTTACAGGAAGGAGAAAGACTCTGCACACCCACATGCCCGGCAGTGTTATTCACCATGGCCAGAGGCAGCAGGACAGAAGTGTGTGACACAGGTGCACGGAGAAGCCGAGGGCGGCTCGTCCCTGCACAGGATGTGAGTCAGCAGCAAAAAAGGAATTTCCAGGCACGCCAGTGTGGATGGACCCTGAGATCACAAGGCTCAGCAAAATAGCCAACCACACAGGGGAAAATGCAGTATCATCCTGCTACAGGAGGTCCCCAGAGTTGTCAAATCATAGACAGAAAGTAGAAGGCAGTCGCCAGGGCCCAAAGGAGGAGGACATAGTGCTTAAAGAGAACGGAGCTTGTCTGGGAAGATGAGAAGGTTCTGGAGGTGGACGCATGCTAGTATAAATGTGCTCTGTACCACAGAATGCTTGCTAAAAATGCCCAAGACGGCCAGTTTTGTGATGAGCCCCTCACCATAACAAGGGCTTTGACGCAGCAGTTCCCATCACCCCAGCAGCCTGCACACCCCACTGTGCTGTGGGTTTTTTTTTTCCTGTCTTTTTCCTTTTTATCAGTACCGAGGATCGGACTCATGACTGCCTGCTTGCAAGGCAGGCACTTGCGCCGCTGAGCTAAACCTCCAGCCCCCAGCTGTGGGGTTTTTACTTTTATAATTTTTTTGGTACTGGGAAGCAAACTCATGACTTCGCGTCTGCCAGGCAGGGGCTGATCTCCCCACCCACCTCCCATCCCCAAGGGCGCCCTCTATCTCCATCCCCAGAACTTTCCTGTGTGCTTTATGCACAAAGCCACGCTCAGCCAACTCCATGATGACCCTATGGGTGACATCTGACGTGCCTTCCATTTTACAGATGAGGAAACTGAGGCTCAGAAAGAGGAAGCTGGAGAGGCAGTGGCAGTGGAGCCAGTTCTGCTGATGGGTGGGGCGAAAGCACGAGAGTCCGCACTGGAGGTCATGCTTGGGGCTGCCCTTGGGGGTGGGAGGTCGGCGAGGCAGCACCCCCAGGGAGGTGTCCTCCTCCTCCCCGGCCCATCTCACCTGGGGCAGGCCCGTGAGCAGGCTGGCACGGCTGGGGGAGCAGCTGCTGACGGAGGTAAAGGCATTGCGGAAGACCAAGCTGCGGCGCGCCAGGGCATCCAGGTGAGGCGTGGCAATGGCACTGTTGTTATACACGCCACTCTCAAAGCCTCCATCATCCGCTGAGGAAGGGAACAGACAAGAGTCAGTGGGCTGGGGGTCAGAAGGGACAGCCTGTGGGGAAGCTGGGGTCCTACTGCAAAGGCTTGGGCCAGCACTACCCAGGAGACCAAGGCACAGGGCAGCCATAAGCCCTGAGTGGGCAGGACTCCAGGCGCTGTGACAGCGAGGCATGGGAGCAGGCTAGTGTGACACCCAGCAGACAGAATACTCAGGCAGCCTCGAGACACAAGTGGGCATTCCTAGCAAACACAACATGTGAGTGGGCCTGTCAGCCAGGAGAGATGTTGGCCACAGGCTGGGAGAGGGATGCTGGGGCCATATCCTCTGGTGGGGGTCCCTGCAACCCTAGAGGAAGGCTGCCCTGTCCAAACTGTCAGGAGTCTCAGTACTTGTTAAGGGTCCTGCTGCATACTGAAATCTGTCCACCCCAAGTTCCTAGGCTGAAGGCTCAACTCCAGTGTGTCTGTATCGGTTGATAAGGGATGGGCCTATGTGGGTGCACATGTTTGTGAGTCTATGTGTGAGTGTTTTGGGGGGTGCAGGCTGGGGAGTGTTGGCAGCACAGGAGACTGAACCCAGCCCAAGCTCTGGAACATACTACCCAAGCACACTACCGCTAGGCCTCAGCCCTAGTCCTTTTAAACTATGTTTAGAGAGATAGGGTCTTGTTATGTAGTCCAGGCTGCCCTCAAACTTACAATCCTCCAGCCTCAGCCTCCCAAGTGGCTGGGACTCCAGGTGTGCAAACCAAAACACCTGGTTTGTCAATGTTGAATTTCATGGAAGTTAAGTGAAACCTGTCATCAGGGTAGGGTCCAATCTAACAGGACTGTGCCCTCCCCTGCCTATGGGGATGCAGTAGGAAGTTGGCCCTCTGAAAGCCAGGAGAAGGTCCCTCCCTGTGCTGGCACCTGACTTGGACTTTCAGATTCCACAAGTGTGAGAAAAGAATTTCTGTGTGTAGGACAGCTGGGTTGTGGTACTTGGTTTCCAAGCTAACAGCAACCTAAGCTGGGGACTGCAGCTTCTGGGCTCTGGAAGGCTCCCTTCTAATAACAAATCCCAGCAGGATGGGGGGCCTGGGGCAGATTCTTCCTTAGTGCCTGGGAGGGGCCTGCCAGGCACCCGGAAGGTTGCTGTTTGTGTTACAATCAGCTGAAGGCTGCCCAGAGACCGCAAAGTTAATCAGAAACAGTGGGTCTGGCAAGGAGCCAGACCCCAGCAGGATTTGGGTTGTCACGGGCCTGGTCACCCAAACAGGAAGTCTTGTGAGCAGCAGGGTGTTGCAGGAACCTGGGGTTTCTGAGGGCAGCACAGGCTGGGTGAGAAGTGAGCAGGTAGTGTGGACCAGTGCACTTGGGCCACAGCCCTCTGGGGTCTGAAAAGGGAAAGTCAAGCCACAGAAGGTCAGGCCAGAGTATCCCAGCCGCACACCTTAGCCCCAGGAGCTCTGCAAAGCCGCTAGGCTCGCTAACATGGGGCTCACGGGCACGGCCCTGGCTGCTCTGGGGATGCCGAGGGGGGCCAAATCAGACCGGGGGGGGGGGCAAAGCGGGAGCTCTGAGCGCCGGGCTGGTCCCTACTGCTGCACAGCCTAAGGAGCCGGCAAAGAGAGTCTAGGGGAGAGTCTAGGGGCCATGGCGACGTGTGGCGAGTCTAGGGGCAGTGGGACCGCAAGCGCCGGGCACGCTGGGTCAGCACTGGCCACTGGTGGGGGACGAGGCCCAGGGCCTGATTTCGCTGCAGTAACCCGTGGCCACGGGAGGGCGGCGGCACTCACCGAGGATCAGCAGCGCGTTCCGGGGGCGCGCCCTGCAGAGCCCCAGGAGCAGCAGAAGCGCGCAGCAGACGGGCCCGGGGCGGCTCATGGCGGCCACCACCGAGTCGGCAGCCGCTCTGCGCCCCGCCCCTCCCCGGTCACGTGCCCGTCCCTTCTCTTCTCCCTCCCCTCAAGTTCCTGCGGCCCGGCCGGCGACGACTCCGAGTGACCCCGAGCACCCGGGGTGAGTCTGCACCGGTGGAATACCGGGCCCTGGCCCGGGCAGGGGGCGGCCACGGTGGACCCAGTGCGGGATTCGAGGGCGGCTCTGCAGCGGGGATCTCCGAGCCGCGTCCCGCCCCACGTTCCCGGCCCTCATCTCCCTCGGGGTGGGCGCGGGTGCTCACCCTGGGTCCCGGGCTGGGGGTCCCGCCGCATCGTGGGGGTGGAGAGGCTGGATTTTGTCCCGAGGGGCGCAGCAGGCGGGCTGGGGGTCGGCGGCCGGTTCTGCGCGCGGGATGGAGAGCCAGGGCTCAAGGATGCCGCTCACCCAGAATTAACGCGGGAGCCCCAGACGTTCTCCAGCACTCGGCTGCAATCCCCGGGGCTCCTTTAGACTTGTGAGTGCCACAGGTGGGGGGCTGGGTAAGATGTGGCCTCAGAAATTGTGGGTGGCTCCGGCCGTGGTTCGGACTTGGGATGGTTCGCTGTGGCGGTGGATCTCGGAGCCCTTGGGCCCCAGACTCCCCATCCTGTGCGTGTAGGCTCCGGTGGGTGGGTCCCGAAGACCCTCCTTCTCTCAGAGCTTGTTCCATTAGGTGCCCTGGAGAGGAAGAATAGATTCTGCTGGGAGGAGAAATTCTTTAGGGTTCTAATGCAGAAGTAGTTTGCCTGGTTCTTACCTGTGGGGTTGCTGGAGGGAGGGACACCGGGATTTGAGCCTGTGGGGTCCAGGATAGTGAATGTGGGCACAGGTTGGTGCCTTGCCCACTTTGTGGGCTTCTCTCATCCCATCTGGGGAACTTAGCCACTCTGGCTCACCACGCCTCCACGGTGCCTGCTCTTGGTGTCTGTGAACCCACCTGGCCTTGCTGGGTCCTCTGAAATTCAGCCCCTGATGGCTGCTGTTTCCCTCCCATAGGCCCTTGCTCCTGATGCCCTCCTCCCTGAAGGGCCTGGGGCAGGCCTGGCTCTCCAGCTCCAGCATGGCCCTCAGCGCCTGCTGCTCCGTCTCAGCCTGGCAGAAGCGGCTGCCTGTCCTGGCGTGGCTGCCTCGGTACTCACTGCAGTGGCTGAAGATGGACTTCATCGCTGGACTCTCAGTTGGCCTCACAGTCATTCCCCAGGCGCTGGCCTATGCAGAAGTGGCTGGACTGCCTCCCCAGGTGAGCTGTCTGACCCCACTGCCAGGCACCTCCTGTCCCCATGGCCTGACCCCACCTAGCGGCTGAACAGAAAGGCTTGTGCTTAGTATGGGCCCCAGACACCTTCACACGTCCTACCCCAGGGGCCCAAGGAACCCTGGATCTATAATTCATAGCATGTGACTGCTTTCAGGCCCTGAGCTGACTCTGTGTGTTTAGAGGGGTGATTCGTGGTGACCTTAGGAATACTTCCTGGGACTCCCAGACAAAGTTCCCTGGCCTTTGACCCTACCCCACTTCACCTGGTGTCAGCACCCTGAGGCCCCGCTTGGAGCTGGTAGAAAAACAGCCCCTGTTCACTGCAGGTCCACCATGGCAGCCAGTGGAGGGTAGGTGACTGGCCCTGCCTGCGTGTACAAGGTGTGCAAGTACACAGTTGGTACCTGCAGGTCCTTTGTCCACACATCCGTGGACAGCAGGGACAGGGGTGGACTGGCCTGGGCCTCCTGGGGCTCACTGCTGTCTCTCCCTGACAGTACGGCCTCTACTCTGCCTTCACGGGATGCTTTGTGTATGTCTTCCTGGGCACCTCCCGGGATGTGACTCTGGGCCCTACAGCCATCATGTCCCTCCTGGTATCCTTCTATACCTTCCATGAGCCTGCCTATGCTGTGCTGCTGACCTTCCTGTCAGGCTGCATCCAGCTAGCCATGGGGCTCCTGCATTTGGGTAAGACCTTGTCTTCCTGTGGTGGGCGGAGAGGCTTCAAGTTATGTGTGCTAAGGTGGGGAGGTACCCCAGTTCCAGGCCTGCTCCACTCTGCAGGGCCAGCACACTGGGAGAACTGCAGGGCCACAGACCCTAAGAACCGTCTAGTAGGGTGCATCACCCATTTTCCCAGCCTACACCCAGCCTACCCTCTAAAACCAAGGGAACTGGGGCCGGCCCTTCATTCCCTTCTGGCTGCCAGGGTTCCTGTTGGATTTCATCTCCTGCCCTGTCATTAAGGGGTTCACCTCCGCTGCTGCCATCATCATCGGCTTTGGACAGATCAAGGTAGGCACAGTGTCTACCACCGCTGCAAGGTGGCACAGGGGTTCCTGGGAGCAGGACCAAAGCAGCCCCGCACTTTGTGGCCAGTAAACACCTTGCTGCTTGGGATTTGTCTCCAACCTGGATTGAGGAGCACTGAGTCCTTCCCTCCAGGGAGAGATGTTACACAATGGTCAGATTTCACAGTAGGTAATTTGGGGCCCATAATTACACTCAGCTCTTGCCTGAGTTTTTGTGCCAGGGCGTTTGGTTGGCTTCACAAGATGGTTCTGTTCTGCCTTTATAACATGTTGTATCAGCAAACCTTGCAGATCATGGGCACCAGGGTTTTTACCAGCAAATCACTTCCCCTTGCTAGTTTACCTGGATAGCTCCTTGTGGCTTCTTCTGGATAGCTCTTTGTGGCTTCTTCTAGTTTCTATTTAAATGCCAGGATTTTATTCCTGTTTAAAATGCCTCTAAGAAGCCCTAGAGCCCATCTTCAGTTGTCCCAGGATGCAGCTCACTTCTGCTCACGTGCCTGGGTGTTTCTTACATTACTTGAGGCAAGCTTGACCATGGTGCCCACTGCTCTGGGTGGTGTGAAGTAGGTAGGGCCCTCTCCTCCGGGGCACGTATGCAATGGAACTGAACTCAGTTCTGTGGATGGGGTTCCTGATGGTGGATTCAGGGCCATTCCCTTGTCTCGTGGCTGTGTTTCTACACCCCAGCTCCACCAGGCCTGTGTCTCAAAGCCAGGGGCTGCTCCACTGGCCCGTGTCTCTGTGTAGGCAGAGCAGGAGCATTAAGGTTGGGAGACTCTTTTGCACCCTTTGTCTCAGGAGTGGGTCAGGCTTGCTGAGTCCTTCACTCTTAGCACACCATGGGAGGTAGGTTTATCATGGTGCCCACTTTAGAGAGGAGGAGATACACAGCAAGGTGTGGGAGAGTGGGATTTTACAGTATGTACACATGTCAGGGCGTGCTTGGCAGTGTCAAGAATGCTTTTTTTTTGTTTTGTTTTGTCTATTCTTTCTTGGATGTAGGAAATCGAAAAAAAAAGTCTTTTTCTTTCTGTGGCATTAGGTATTGAACCCACATCCTTTGTATTGAGCTGCATCTCTAGATGTTTTTAAAAAATTTTTGACACAAGGTCTTTCGAATTTACTACTTTGTACCAGCTGGGTTCAAACTTTGAATTCTCCTGCTTCAGCCTCCCAGAGTGCTAGGATAACAGGAAGGGGCCACCACACCCTGCTCTTTTATATGATTTTAATGCCACTGGAGGGTACCTTCTCGTCCGTACTCAGTAACCTTAACCCCACTCCCCAAATTTTAAAAACTTTGATTAGATCATACTGTGTGGCCATCGGACATCCCTAGGACTTGAGGCCCTCCCAATCCAAGAATCCATCAGTGTCTACCTGTCCCATGTCCCCAGCCTCAGTGTTTGCAGTGATTGTGGGCTAGGAGGGTCCTAAGGTGTCCTGGTTAATCCACCTCCCATACATCCTGCTGGGTCTCAGGCAGGATGAAGTGCTGAAGCAGGGAATGAAGCCCCTTTTCCTTCCTGAAGACCCCAAGGGCTGTGGTCAGGGTGGGAGGCCCTGTCCTGACTGGGACCCCCACGCCTTTCCATCGAGCCCCTGAGGAGCAGCTAGTTCTGCCTGTCTTGGCCTGGGCATGAGTTTTCCTTCAAGCAGGGGCCAGGGTGGGGAGTAACAGAGCTCTCTGGCCAGTAGTGGTCAGAGGGAAGTGTGGGGAAGTGTGGCCGAGGTCCCCAGACAGCTCAGCTGCTTGGCTGTAGGTCCAGGTCTCCTGCTTTGTACTGCTGACCCATACACTAGGTGCTGGCTTCCCCAAGGTAACTTTATCTCCTGCCTTGGGGTCGCAGTGACCCCTGGGAGCCCCGAGTTAGCCCTGCAGGTCCAGACCCCCAGGTGGGGCCCTTCTCAGGCAAAAAGAAGGGATGGAGTGGAGGCAGAGGGGAGAGAGGGACAGGCATGGGCAGGTTCTAATGGATTCTGTTTGAACAGAACCTGCTGGGCCTGCACAACATCCCCCGGCAGTTCTTCCTGCAAGTATATCACACCTTCCTCAGCGTCGGGGAGACCAGGTACCCCGTTGGGTTCTTTTTCCCCCTGGATATGGCTGCTCTTCCTTCCAGGGCCCCTTCCCATGCCCTGCTTCCTTCTCCACCCCGGCTAGCGTTGAGCTGTCTTCTTGGGCCTTGTTGCTCGCACTGGTCCCCAGAGTGGCAAGGTCACATCACTGGGCAGGGGTTAGACAAGCAGATGCCAGGTCAGCCCAGACTGCTGAGAAAGGGTAGCATTGTTTCAGGAGCCCGGGGTGTCTGAGGATCCTCCACCAGGTTATCTGGGTCAGTAGGGGTAGGACAGACAGTCTCCTGTCCCGGAGTCCTCACATAGTAGTACCATGTCGCAGGCCCGGAGAGCTGATGCCCAGAATGTGTCTGCCCAAGGGCTGCTCTCTGCAGGTGGGGCCCCACCTGTGTCACTTCCTTGATGGTGTAAGTCTCTCTGATGAAGGGTCCCTCCCTCCTAGACCAGCTGGCGGAGAGCCAGGATATCCCCTGCTGTCCTGCCTGGACCAGAAGAGGGTTTGAGGAAAGTGGGTGGTGGCCTGGAGAGTAGACCAGGGCTCAGACTTCCTTTCTGCTTGGATCTTCTGCCACCTTGGTTCAGGGACTGTGTTGGGAGCCAGTGGGCCCTCTGCCTCTTGAGTAGGGGTCAGCCTCCTGGAGGTGGACACTGGCTCACAAACGAAGGGGCACAGGGCCTCACCTACTGAGTGTAGTCCAGATGTGCCATCTGTGATTGACAGGCCTGAATGCGTGGGGTTGCAGTCCCTCTCCAGTGGTGGTGGGGACTTCCTGACTCCTAGTCCTGTGCAGGGCTGGGTGCTTACTGAGCTGTGAACACAGTTTTGAAATCATCGAGGGCTGTGGATCACTTAGGAGAAGGCCAAAAGGTTGGGGACAGTGTTTCAGGAGCAGGTGTGCGTGGCTGCCTGGCTGGGTGGTGACCCGTCCTCTGCCCGCAGGCTGGGCGATGCCATTCTGGGCCTGGTCTGCATGGTGCTGCTGCTTGTGCTGAAGCTCATGCGGGACCGCATTCCTCCTGTCCACCCCGAGATGCCCCTCTGCGTGCGGCTCAGCTGTGGGCTGGTGTGGACCACTGCCACAGGTGAGGAGCCCCCTGGCTGAGGGGCATGGGTGAGGGGAGGCAGTCAGCAGGAGTTCCGAGCCCCAGCCCTTAGAGATGCTTTGGCCTGGGAGTGCCTTGTGCATTGTGATTACTGGTGGGTTTTTGGTTTGATTTGGTTCAGTTAGCTTTGGTCCAGTCCAGTTTGGTTTGGTACCAGTGATTAAACCTAGGACCTCCCATTGAGTTACGGCTCCAGCCCTTTTTTATTTTTATTTATTTTGTTTTACCTGGAATTGAACTTACGACCCTGCACTTGCCAGGAAGGTGCTTATGACACCGAGCTACACCCCCAGCCCCTTATTTTTCATTTTGAGACAGGCTTTCACTAAGTCATTAAGTTGTCAAGGCTGGGCTCAAACTTGGGATGCTCCTGCCTCAGCTTCCCAGAGTACTGGGGTCACAAGGTGTGCACCACCACGCCTGGATTATAGATGGTTCTGATCTGTCTCCAGTACTGGGAACCCTCATCTGCAGCAGTGGTTCCCAGGCAGAGGTGACTGGGCAAAGTTGGGAGTCATCTTTGGGTGATACCATCTGGGGAAGCTGTTGCTGGCATCTGGTGGGTGTCAGCGGCCCCCTGGTCTCCCCCAGTGGAGTCAGCTGGCCCAAAACATTGGCAGTGCCCAGGCTTGAGAAACCCCATCTGCGGGATCACTGGGTGAGAAGGCAAATTCCACACTACCCAGAGGCTGCGTTCTAGCCGGGCGCTTGCTGGGAGGGAGAGTTTAGCTCTGGGCATGGGGCGCGCGGGCTGAGTGAGTGACAGGGTCCATGGGAGCGGCTGAGGCCAGGGCCCTGCTGAGGGCCATTGCTGGGGAGGCTGGACGCTGGTTAGTGATACCCACAGAAGAAGGTACACGCAGGACAGCAGCGTCATCTCTGAACCTTACGAGGAGTGAAATGATCTGAATGTGGCCCAGCAGTTAGTGGGGGGCAGGCAGGAAATCAACAGCAATGAAACAGGGGAGCAGTGAAAAAGGTTTTTTGTTGTTTCCTAAAGTTAGGGGCTAAACCCAGGGCCTCCTGCACGCTGGGCAGAGGCTGTACTAGCCTCCCTCTTTCTTAAAAAGTACTGGATTTTCTTTTAACACAGTCTCACTAAGCTGCCCAGGCTGGCCTTGAACTTGAAACACTCCTGCATCAGCTTCCCAAATGACTGGGATCACAGATCCGCACCACCAAGCCTGGCCGAGAAAGGTTTCTTAGATGCTAGAACGCCAGCTGAGGGTGGTGGCGCACACGCAGCAGTCTGGACGCAGGAGGGTGCCAGCCCCTGCCCTGCCACTTTCCCATGTGTGTCAGGCCCGGGTCTCACCTGTGTTCCCTCTGTCCCAGCTCGTAATGCCCTAGTGGTCTCCTTCGCGGCCCTGGTTGCATATTCCTTTGAGGTGACTGGATACCAGCCCTTCATTCTAACTGGAGAGATAGCCAAGGGGCTGCCGCCTGTGCGAGTCCCTCCCTTCTCGGTGACCATGGCCAATGGGACTGTCTCCTTCACCCGGATGGTGCAGGTGAGAAGCAATGGAGCCGCCAGCGTGGCCGAGTCCCTGGGTCTGGCTCTGGGTCCCTGCTGCATCTGTCCGGTGACAGGAGTTTCCAGCCCGATGAAGGGGTCACAGTCCCTGTGGGCAGCAGTTAGGGAAGAGCCCCAGGTTGGACACAGCGGACCAGGCACTCCCTTGTGTTTTGGCCTCAGAGACCCCACAGTCCCCCTCCTTCAGACAGCGGCACGGGGGGTATCTGCAGGTTCTCCTTAATGTCTGGCCCCTTTCCCCATGAGGAGGTGCTCTTTGCCTCACATGCTCATACCCTTGCAGCTGCAAGCGCTGCACATGTCTCCTTTGTGGGTGCACTTGGGGGCGGGCCGATCATGCCTTGGTAGGGTGACCAGACCTGCCTGTCCCTTCCGGAGGGACAGGGATGCTGGAAGGCCCTCACCACCTCCCCTGTCTCTTCCCCCAGGACCTGGGGGCAGGGCTGGCAGTGGTGCCCCTGATCGGGCTGCTGGAGAGCATCGCAGTGGCCAAAGCCTTCGGTGAGACGCCCGCTGCCCGCACCTTTTCCTCCTCGGTGATGCACCCTGGCTGGGCTCACAGTTGCTCAGCTGCTGCTTTCTTGCTTGCATTTGGCTGCTGCCATTTATAAAATCAGAATTTTTTTTCTAAATGTTAATGTGATCATGTTTTAAAATGGAGTACATGTACACCAGGTGAGACATCCCTGATCTGAAAATCCAAAATCTGAAACCCTTGGTGCCAGTGTGACCTGATGGGTGCTCAACAGACAAAGGCTGAAGTATTCTTAACTGATAAAAGTCTAGGCACATATTCCAAACTCTGAAGATTTCTAAAGCTGGAAGCACTTTGGTTTCCAGCTGTTTTGGGTAAGGGACGCACACTGTGTGCAGTAAAACTGGATCTGTAACCAGAAACCCTGTCCCAGTGTGCCAGCCAGCATTCCTGTGTGTGGACACGAGAGACCCTGCTTTGGCCAGGAGTGGTGGTCCAGGGTTGCACCCACCTGTAACCTCAGCTCCTGGGGAAGCTGAGGCAGGAAGATTAACAGTACAGGGCCAGCCTGGGCAACTTAGTGAGACCCTGTCTTGAAACTTACAATGGAGCTGGAGATGTAGCTCAGGGCACCCTCGACTCAGTGTTCACTTCCAGAACAGACTAAGGCATCCCTAATGTGGAGCTGGGGTGCAGAGTTGGAACAAGCTGTGTGCGGGGTTCCTTTCTGTGTTGCTTGCTGTTGCTTGTGGTAGACACAGGTAACCTCATTGGTAATAGCGAGATGTCAAATGAAGAAGCCGTGAGTTGTTGTGTCTTTGTTTGTACTGTGATTTGTTTAAGCGGAAGTTGTAATTAGTTGATTTTTAATTCAGTTTAATTAAGCTGTGCTTAATAACTGGTTCACAAAAGTTCTAAAAATTCACAGCATCTGTCCTGCTGGCTCGGTACCCTGGAGGCTCCTCCCCTCCCTCTTTGGAAGCAGGGAGGTATAGGCGCCTATATCTGAGTGAGCATCTTTCAGCACTCTCCTTTGTAAGGTTAGGCTGTTAAAGTGTTGCCTTGTCACCTTTCCCACTGGGGTTGGCTGCACTTCCAACTCCGGATTGTCAGCTTGGATGACTCTTGCACCCCAATCTGTGATAACTGAGGCCTCCTTGCCTGCAGGTCCAGGTTAGTTCTGCAGGTGAAAGCCCAGGTCACGGCAGCTCAGCAGTAGAGCGCTTGCCCGGCACGCACAGGCACTGGGTCCCATTCCTAGCACCAGGAAGAAATTCACTGTGTGTATTGTCTGCCTCCCTGCCTGGTGTTTCCTGCCCAGCCCTAGGTATGCCAGGGTAGATTCCGCTCCAGCAGCCCAGTGCTTTGTCCCTCAGCCCCTTCAGAGATCCACTCAGAAGGGTTTCCAGATCCAGCAGTTGCTCAGAACCATTCCATGTCTCCATTAGTTCTGCGTACAGCTCTTGTCTTCCTTATTTAGTTTCTGTTTCTCTGATCATCTCTTTATGTTGCTGGAAATAAAACAGTATCTTCTCCAAATCTGCATCTTACAGCCTTTACTCTTGTCTGTTACCTAGACATTGCTTGTTTTGTTTTTCTATTTTGTTTTGTTTTAAGTACGGATTAAACCTTGGGGTTTTGCACTAAACTACATGCCCTGCTCATTTTTAAATTTTTTACTATGAGACAGGATATTGCGAAGTTACCCTGGCTTAGCACCAGAAAGGCTGAGGCAGAAGGATCACTGTGAGTTCAAGGCCAGCTTGTGCTGCATAGTGAGACCCTATCTGAAAACAGACAAACAAAAATATATAAAGATGTTGTAGAAAGTACAGAAGTAAAGAGGGTAAATCACCTGTCATCCCTCTTCCTTCTCCGTCTGACTGCAGTTAATGTGTTACTTCCGTCTGCTTTCTGATACACACGTGGAAAAATACCTGGGACCAGACATGTTTCTGATTTGAGAGGTTTTCACATGTTGAAATATTTTTAATAGCGTTTATTGGTTGAGCATCCTAATTCAAAAGTCCAAAACTTTTTATTTCTTTCTTTTTTTTCTTCTGGAACTGGGGGTTGAACCTACAGCCTTCACTCTGAACTACATCCTCACCTCTCTTTGAGACAGAGTCTTGCTAAACTGCTGAATTACCCAGGCTGAGCTTGAACTTGAACTTGTGACCTCCTGTCTCAGCCTCCCTGAGAGTATGGATTTCAGTCATGGGCCACCATGCCCAGCTGCAAAATGTTTTGGAGGTGATGTCAGTACCCAGAGAGTTTCGGTTTTGAAACATTTCAGATTCTGGATTTTCATATATGCAGAGCTCGGATAGTGCCATGCACGCAGAGAAGTGTGAACCAGTTCTTCGTCTCATAGGCACTTTCCCAGCAATGTCGTCGTATATCCAGTGACAGTGTGTTTGTCCCTCCCCTTTAGCATCTCAAAACGATTACCATGTGGATGCCAACCAGGAGCTGCTGGCCATCGGTAAGACCCCTTCCAGGCTGAGTGCCTGCATGTCCCACTGAGTTGTGCTGAGTGTGACAGTGGCTGTGATGAGCCAGTGGGCCTTGTAGACTCCTCCTCAAGGGCCCCGAAGCTTCTGTTCAACCCTTGGGCATAGGCAGCTCACAGGTGGTCCAGGTTTCCACTTACTGAGTACCTGCTGAGTGGACACCCTGACATCTGTGACCTCATGGACACCCTGGAGTGCCCAGCCTCCGAAAAGCAGTGTGAGGGCCAGCGGGCAAGGAGCAGAAGGGTGCTGCCAGGCCAGCCCCAAGCATGCCTGTCCCTGCCCTGTGGCCTCCCTCCAGCAGGAGTAGGGGGACCGATAAGGACCCAGGTGTCCTAGGCTGCCTGCCTGTGGCCAGGGCTGTATGCTGGGTTTGCCATTGTGAATTCCTTTGTCTTTGTGAGATGACTTTTCTAGTGTGTTTGGGGACCATGGCCTAAATCTTACATTTGGGTCCAGTCTAGTGCCAGTGTGTCATGGGCCTGCTCCTGCCTGTCCCCCTCCCACTATGGATGGGCGCAGTCAGCAAGCAGCACCTGGCAGCTTTGGGGTCAGGTCTGGACCTCGGCCACTTAACTTACAGTCAACAAACACCTGGGCCCCCATGTAGCACCCTTCTCTGAGGAGGTCCACGAACTCCCTGAAGAACCTACCAGTGAACCTTCCAACTATGATTTCTCAGAGCACCCCATTCCTATGACTTCAAAAATAGTACATCCATAGCAAGACGTGGTGGCACATGCCTGTAATCCCAGCACTAGGGCCGCTGAGGCAGGAGCATTGCAAATTCAAGGCTGGCCTGAGCTCCGTAGCAAGATCCTGCATGGAACACAATGAAACAAGTGGCTTGCAGCATCCCCACCAGCAGCAGCAGCAGCAGCAGCAGGAGAAGAATAACGTAGATCTGGCGGCACAGACAAAAGCAGACAGGCATATTGAATCCATGGGGCAAGGCTGGCTCCAGAATGACGATCAGAGCTAAATCAGGCCTGGGACTGTGGTTCTGTGGTAGACCGATGCCTGGTGTGCTCGAGGCCATGGATTCAAACCTCAGCACTATAAATGAAGCCCAACGCCAACTGGGCAGACGTGACAAGCTCGTGGCCTGTGTTTTCCTTCCCAAAGGCGTGCCCAAGGCTAACACAGGCGCCCGTCTTTCCCTGCATCTCTCCCTGACGGGCTCAATTTTCTGCCTCTGCCTGCCCAGTCTTTGGCCTGTGTGATTCCTCCTCCTTCACCCAGTAAACGTCTTGTCGTCTTCCCAGGCCTCACCAACATGCTGGGTTCCTTTGTGTCATCCTACCCGATCACAGGCAGCTTTGGGCGGTGAGTGCCCACACGCTTCCCTCCCTGCTGCGTGGGGTGGGCCCAGCTCCAGAATCGCCTCTTCCTTAGCTGGGCCCATTTGCCCATTTTCCACACCCTTCTTGTGGCAAAGCAGGAAGTGGGGGGCTACCCCTGCTCTCTGGAGCAGCATCTGGGTTCTCAGTGCCGCATTTCCATCTGGAAAGTTCCCAGCGTGTGGAAACAGTAAACCATATGTATTTAAGGAATAAGGGTATGGGCTGCACCCAGTGCTCTGCCCCCGCCCCCAGTCACTGCCTTGGCCCACCTGCCCCACCCCCCGCCTGGTCTCCTGGAAGGTCGCCTGCCTCTGCAGGCAGGCAGAAGCTTCCCCTGCTGTGCTGGGACCGCAGCACTCACAGGTCTCTCTTGCCTTTCCAGGACAGCTGTGAATGCCCAGTCTGGGGTGTGCACCCCTGCGGGAGGCCTGGTGACCGGTGAGCCCCCACTTTTCCTTATGCCCATGATGGTGAGGGAGAGACAGGCAGAAGCCTCCTAAAGGGCCATGCCTCCTTAGCAGGCTGTCAGGTCCACGGCTGTGTCCTCCTGGGATGGCACCTCCAAGGCCCCAGGTGACCCCTGCTGTCTACAGGTGCACTGGTGCTGCTGTCCCTAGACTACCTGACCTCGCTCTTCTACTACATTCCCAAGGCTGCACTGGCTGCTGTCATCATCATGGCTGTGGTGCCACTGTTTGACACCAAGATCTTCGGGATGCTGTGGCGAGTTAAGAGTGCGTATGTGCCGTTACCGGTAGGCATGTGCCCAGCAGAGGGCGCCGTGGCACGGAGTTTGGGGTTGCTGAGGGCATCCTTGAACCCCCTTCAGGCAGCCCAGCCCATACGAGGGCTGGGAGCTGCCCTCAAGTTCAGATGTCCCAAAGCCTTGAATAAGGCTGCCAAGAGAGTGGGACGTTGGTCTCCAGAGGACCAGGTTCCCCTGTGCAGGGACCCTGGAGGTGACCAGCGGGGCTTCTCTGCCTGAAATCCCCGTTTCCCTCAGCCGGCTGTCTCCCTGCCCACTCCCTTGGGTATCCTGAGCCTCAGAGTCTTGAATGGTGGAACTGTAAGGATTTGTGTAGCTTGGCTCCTTCCACTGTCTCCCCAGGGAGTCACCAACACAAGGCACAATCGATCATGTCATCGTGCAGCAGGACCTCTCTGTAGTGTGTGTCCCAGCCATGTACTCTGCCTGTGTGGAATGCAATAGATGCTCCTGAAGGAAACTGAGGCTTAGGGAAGGGGGAGATGGGTCTGACCCACTTGTGTCTGGAGCTGTCCCCAAACTCGTGGATTTTGCCCATCCCCCACTATCTCAGCCAAGTGTCCTGTGTGGTCTCCAAAGATCCCCTGATCCCTGCCACCCTTCTCAGGCTTTGTCCCTCCTTCATGGGCGCCCAGCAGGCCCTCACTGCTCTCTCTGAGCTTGGAGGCCTGGGGCCTGGCCCAGCAGGGTCAGTTAGTTGGCTTCCTGTGACCAGGACCTTCCTGTGATGAGCTGGGACTCACAGCTGCTGTCCTTGAGTCCCCAGAGCAGAGGCTGCCTGGGTCTGTGATCCCCGTTATCACCATGTAGGGAGCAGGAGCCCATCATCCTGCCTGGTGGGGCCCACCAGATGGGGCTGAGTTGTTCCCCTCCTCTCCTAGGGCTGGACCTCCTGCCTCTCTGTGCAACTTTCCTGCTGTGCTTCTGGGAGGTCCAGTATGGCATCCTGGCAGGGACCCTGGTGTCCACGCTGTTCCTGCTGCACTTCGTGGCCAGGCCTAAGACCCAGGTGCTGGCCAAGGGAGGCATGTGTGGATTCAGGGCTTCTCCTTTTTTCTTGAATTTATGGGTGACTGTGGTCTCCAGCACTGCCAGAGTTGACCCTCCTCTCATTAAAAGCCATAGTGCCTTGCTGCTGTGCCTGGTTCTTGCGGGGGGGGGGGGGGTGTCCCACCAGCCCTCACTCCTGCCCCACCCAGTGCACTGGGCTTGGCTTGTGGCTTCCTGCTTGGGATAGGCAAAGCCTCGTGGGAGCCGCCCTGTTTCCTCACCCTAAAGCTCACTCTTTCCTCCTCCCTTCCAAGGTGTCAGAGGGACCGGTCCTCATCCTGCAGCTGGCCAGTGGCCTGCACTTCCCTGCCATTGAGACCTTGCGGGACATTGTACTGAGTCGGGCGCTGGAAGGTATGTGATGGGCAGCGGTGGACTATAGTCAGCATGCATGCACCGACTTCCCCTCCACCATGGCTGTTTGAGGACTCCACAGCCCAGCCCCCACTGGCCTATGGGCCACCCCTCTGCTGTCAGGTCCATGAGGTGTTGAGCAGCTCTGAGTGGCATCCCCCGTGGGTAGGACAGTCCCCAGTGGGTGCTCAGCCCCAGGACTGCTTCTCTCCCTGCTTCAGCCCAGAGCTGATTGATGTTCAGGGCAGGCAAGGAGTCTCTTGGTCTTAGGAAGCAGCTACTGGTCTCACTGAAGAGCTGTTCCCTGAGCCACCCCGACCCTCACCAGTAGTCCTTGCTGGCCGCGCCCAGCAGTGTGACTACTTGGCCTGTGTTCCCAGTGACCTCGCCACGCCCTGCGGTTCTGGAGTGCTCCCACGTCTGCAGCATTGACTACACTGTGGTGCTGGGCCTGGCCGGGCTGCTGGAGGACTTCCGCAAGCAGGGTGTCTCCCTGGTTTTCTCTGGCCTGCAGGTAGGCAAGCCAGCCCCCACCCACAGGACCCGGGTTGGCAGCCCTCCCTCCTTCCCTGGGCCACTGTGACATTCTTGAGCCTTGATGCCAGCCATCCCAAGGACAGATGGCCCTGACCCTCCGTCTGCTGTGGCTCTGCTCTGACCTGGCAGGTTCTCAACCCACCTGACCTTCGTCTCCTTCCCTGGAATATGGGGGGCCGCAGCCCTGTCCTCAGAGCAGTTCTTGGCACAGCCTCAGGCTCCCTGGCCCTCGGCGCCAGGCCCATTGCTCACGCGCTGTCTTTAGTGCTGAGATTCTGGTCTCAGGCCGGCTGGCTCCATGGTTGCACTGTGGCTGTTGCTTCCTGTGCAGTTTGCAGTGGCCAGTTTGGTGGTCTTTGAAGGCCAGTCATATGGAAACCCCTCTGGCGGCAGCCCACTGGAGCCTCCCTCCCTCTCCGTTACCTGTGTGGCAAGGGTGCAGAATGTCCCAGAATATTCGGCGCCTCCACCACGCTGCCTGCTGTGCATCTGTCAGGGGCAGAGTCCTTTGCCCTGCACCAAAGCGTGTCTGTTCCACAGGCTCCTGTGCTCCATACCTTGCTGGCTGCAGACCTGAAGGGGTTCCAGAACTTTCCCACCCTGGAGAAGGCAGGTGGGCACTGGGGACATTCACCAGCATGTCCATCTCCCGGAGGTCAACAAAACAGGGCAGAACTGGGGGAGCAGGAAGAAAGGGGTGAAGGGCACGGAATACCTGGTCCCCAAGAGGGCGTAAGAGGTGTGGGTCCAGGCCCAGGTAGGGTCAGAGGTAAACCAAGGCCTTCTTTACCTGGGGCTTGTGTTGGGGTGTGTGTTAGAGGGAGTTTTAAGCACAGGTGAGCAGAGTGTCAGTGTCCTCCCAGTGTACCCACTGATCTGGGTAACATGTTTCTGTCACGCTAGAAAGGTCTCATGCCTCAGGGTCCATGTCCCTGAGGAACCAGGGTTCTGTTTTCGCCACCTTAAGCTGGCTGTGTGCCTGTTGTAGGTAGTGGGCGTGCGGGATTGTGAGGTTTCTGTGGCTGCTTCTTGGGCTGGGTCTGCCATCTGAGATGTGTCCGCATTGCTGCCAGAAGCAGCTGCAAGTGGCCCAGAAGGCCATGCCGTTCAGGGCACTCTGGAAGTCGTGGTGAGCCCAGAGAGGAGTGGCCTTCAGTACCCTGGGTGCTGGGCCCCAAGTGCCTGCCTCTTGGAGCCTGTTCCCCAAACTGACTGGTCTTCCTGTCCATTTTTTCAGTGCTTGTTATTTTTAACTGGCCTTAGAAGCACATACCTATAACCCCAGCACTCTGGAAGGCTGAGGCAAAAGGGTTGAAAGTTCAAGTGCAGCCTGGGTGATTTTGTTACGTAGCAGGACCATGTCTCAAAATAAAAATGGACTGTGAAGGCAGCTCGGCATGAGGGTGCTGGGTTCCATCTCCAGTACTGGATAAAAAAGAAACATTTTTTGCAGAGCAATACGTGAGGCAAGAGCTAGGCATGGAGCCCTACAACGTTTGTGAAGATTCTGTCCCAGAACATAAGGTCACCCTGCTGACAGCCTAACCGGGCCACTGGGGGCAGCTGGCGTAGTCTCCCAGAAGGTGCCTGTCTGTGTTTGACATCGGTCCTGCCTGAGAGACGTGCTGGCTACACAGAGGAACCCCTGGAGGGATTCTGCTGCCCTCTGCAGGCACCTGCCCGCTCCCCCCTGGGCGTGGACCTTGTTGGGAGAGTAGTTGGAGAGAGCTGCCACGGCTATAGCCCAGAGATGGCAGAAAGGAGCAGCAGCAGGCCGCCGTGGGGCAGGTACCTCAGAGGCGCATCCGTTGCCATGCAGTGGCTCTGCTGTGGCTTGAGAGAGGACCAGGGTGTGCCAAATCTCTCATCTCTTTTAAAACACTTCTGTGTTTTTTAAATTCAAGAGATAGCTTCGGTGTTTTGTAAAGATCGTAATTGCTTATTGTAAAAAGTAAAGGAAGCCATCCCCCGTCCTCTTTGATCAGGCCAGACCCCACCCAGTGCAGGCACCTGCCCGTGCGTGAGTGGGTTGGCGTCAATGGAATCACTTCCCATGTGCTGCTGTGCTGCCTGGGTTTCCATGCAGGCATTTGCCATCAATTATTTATTGTGATAATAAATGATCTACGTGGTTTTTAATGGCTTGATACTGTTTTATTCCAAGTCTATGGTAACAAGTCCTCTGTTCACCGTGTGTGGACTCTGGACTGAATTGTGTGCCCCAAAATCCATGGCATGAAGCCCTAACCCTCAGTGTAAGTATTTAGAGATGGAGCTATGGAAGTAATTTTTTTTTTTTTTTGAGACAGTCTCACTATGTAGCACAGGCTACTCTGGAGCTTACTGTGTATTGTAGTCCAGGCTGACCCTGAGCTCACAGCAGTTCTCCTGCCTCAGCCTCCCTAGTTCCTGGTTCATGGAAAGTAATTAACACATTCATGACAGGGCCTTAATTCCTGTGTCTCACTGCCAGGCAGTTTGAACAATTGGTGGCACATGTATGACTGTCCCACCATCAGTTTTTTGTTAATTTTATGAGTGAAAAGACTCCTGAGAGTGATTCATTAGATCTGTTTGTGCCACTTGATGGGGTAGTCATGCATGCACCACCAGCAGTGTTATGGTTAAGCAAAAGATCAACTCTTAGGGGAAACCAAGGAACCAGTTGATAAAGAAACAGTGAGTTTTTTGGGCTGATCAGAGCTGCAACTTGGACAAACCCAGGTTCAGGTGGTCTTTTCCCATTTATTACCAGAGAACACTGGTGCACACCTCTAACCCCAGGATTTAGGAGGCTGACGCAGGAAGGCCACTGTAAGTCCAAAGCCAGCCTGGTATATAGTAAGTTTAACTCAGCTTCTACTTCATGGCTCAACAAATGAAACCATTATGTATCCATGCGTTTCCACAGGATGGAAGACTGAGCCAAGGGCCTGCACACTGAGCTGTATCTTGAGCCCTTTTTTATTTTGACCTCTTATTTTTACTTTGAGCCCAATCTGTGCTCAAACCGGAATCCTTTTGCCTCAGCCTTCCACAGTGTTAGGATTACAAGTTTATAACACCATGCCCAAGTCACGGTTTTTTTGGTACTGGGGATTAAACTCATGACCATGTGCTTGCCAGGTAGGCACTGTGTCACTGAGTTAACTCCCCTCCCCAGGTCATGTTTTAAAAACAATAAATTGATTCCAACATTCAGGAGGCGGAGGCAAGAGAATCACTGCAAGTTGCAGGCCAGCCTGGGCTACATAGCAAGAACCTGTCTCAAAAAAAGAAAAAAAGAAACACTCCCTGTCAATAACGTAGGTCAGAGGCTACACACATCCAGGAGCTGATCCACGTGTGGTTTCTCTGGCCTCTGTGGGCAGGACAGCCCCTGTGGCAGTGTGGCACCTGCTTTAAGGACCAAAACCATTTAGGAGCCAAGCCAGAGCCTGTGACCTCTATCTCCACCCCACCAGGCCAGAGAGCATTTTAGCACCTCCCCCAGGGGCCAGCATCACGAAAAAATTGGGAACCTGCTGCACTCAGGAGCCCATCCCTAATTCACGAGCTAGACACAGAGGTATAGAGGCCCTTGTTCCCAGGAAGGATCTGAAGCGAGAATTGAAGCCCATGGGAAGAGCAAAGAGAGAAACTTCAACGGAGGAGGAGGAGGAGAAGGAAGAGGAGGAGGTGGCGGTAGCCCGTGGAGCTATCTCCTTGGGACGAGCCTAAAGCTGCAGAAGCAGATACTCAGTGACTGATGGCTGGCAACACCAGGGGCCTCCACAGAGAGATGCAGCAGAAGGGAGGGTGGATGTGAAAGACTGCCCTGGCTGCAGTACCTGCCAACCTGCAAGACAGGAAGAGTGGCCAGGAGCCATCTCCTGGAGGGCCCCTGCGCTCAGAACTCCGAACAGCGGCCCCCAGCTGAGTTTAAGCCAGCAGAGGATGCGCTGAGGGCTGCAGACTGAAGAGGACAATCCCAGCCTCATGGCCAGAAACCAACCTGAGCTTCAGGGGAAAAATGGGGCAGGTTCACTGAGATTATCCAGTAGCCCATGGTAAAGTGACTGCTGGCTTGCTGAGATACATCAGCACAGACCTGGACTCCACACCTTGTCTACCAGTGACAGCAGAGACAAACCTGGAAAGGGACATTTTTTCCCCTGCTCTTTTTCCTGTTTTTTCCTCATGGTTTGATCTTGTTTTTATATGACTTTGGATGTGGTCTCTAGATCGTGTGTGTGTGTGGTTGTTCTGTTCTTCCTTTTATTTTTTTTTTCTCTTTCTCTGTTACTTCCTTCTGCACCAGTCTCCTAAAGTTGTGTGTTCCCCTTTTGTCCTCTAGCCTTGCTTCTAAATTTCTTCCCCTTCTTATATTTCTCTACTTTTCCCTCTAACTCCTTTTAAATTTCCTCCCAAGGGTAAAATTGGAATAGCAAGAGCTTATTTAGTTATATGATTTTCTGGTTTGCTTTAGATTTTGTGGTATAACCACAAGTTGGGTTCATGCAGTTAAAGGTGGCAAATTAGGGGTCACCTCGGTCTGTCATTTTCTAGGCTGTGTTTGATGCTATTGTTATTGCTGACTTTACCACTTTAGCCAAAGTGACACAATGGTTCTAAGCAGCTGTCCTTCCTGGTATACCAACCCTGAGCTTGCCCAAAGGTCATAGAAAATACTATGGGCCAGTGCCAAGTGCTCAGGAGGTGGGCCAAGCAGGCAACAACTTTTCAACCCCAACAAATTGAAATAGTGGGATCTTCCAACCAACTCAAAACCCCAAATCAGCTACACCTGGGAGACACTTCTGAGACATAGTCATTTCCTGAGGGTTCTAAATACAAGCAATAGGAGGAGGAGGAAAGATGGTAGATAGGTAACAACTGGCTACAGAGGCTCCCTGAGGCAGTCAAGTTAGAATTCAACATAATACAGAGTGAGGAGCCCCAAACAGAGAGAGATGAATTCTGTCCTCCCAAGAAGAAATTAAGCAGGCAACTTGCCGACCATCCGAGGTCCTACCATGACTTGCCAATGTCCCACCACGACTTGCCAAGGTCCCACCGCGACATGCTGAGCCATCTGAGGTTCCGCCGCTTCGACTCACTGGAGGTGCAGTTACACTGAGTTCAGGGGTCGGTGAGCCAAACAGAGAGCTGAGTTGGCAGGGTGCCTACATCGACCTGTGGTGAGTGATGTGAGTGAAGCCATTCCATAAATAGGGGGGCTCCAGCAGATGACATTCTGGGACCAGGCAGGACTGGCAACTACAAAGGGAAGCAGTGACTTCAGTCAATTGTTCCCTTCCCAAACGGGATTGGTGGAGTGAGCTAGGCCTGGGTCACATGACCTGGCTGAGACCCAATAGGTTATCCGAAATCAAGTCCCTACAGTGGTGGTGCACACTAACCACATTAACCCAGTGAAGCCTCAGAAGTTTGACTGATCTGGAGGGGAGGTGATGCAAAGTATACAGTGCAGGCCACGGCAGCTTGAATAATCCGGAGGGGAGGAGCCAGCATACACTGTCCCTGTCTGCAACTCACTAGCACACGGCAGTGTGAAGGGTCATCTAGCCAGTGTGCTTCAGAAGAATTGTAACCAACAAAGAAAGAAACTGGGGCCTCCTAGAAGAAGCAAAAAAAGATGGGAAGAGGGAGCAACAACAAAAAGTCCCCAGGTCTCAATCCTGAGAACATGGACCCAGGACAGGTAAATACAAAGGAGAATGAGAACAACAAACATGCAATATCAGACACAGCGCCAGTGGACACAAAGAGATATATTCGGGACCTCATAGATGAGTTCAAAAGTGAAATCTTTAGCCAAATAAAGCAAGACATAAGATTAATAAAAGAGATACTAAGCACCCCTCAAGCAGACACAGACAGAAGAAGGGAGGAACTCAAAGGAGAGAACCATTTGGTGAAGAATATAAAAAACAAATATAGAATACATGAAGCAGATTCAGAGATCACCAGGAAATTAAAAACTCTATGGAAAGATGGCAAGTCAGCTTGAAAGAAACTCAGGATAGATTATCTAAACTGGAGAACAATTTTGCAATGTGGCAATATGAAAGGGAAAACTTATTTAAAAATAACAAAGAAACAAGCAGTAATAATACAAAGGCTAGAAGACAAAAGATCTATAACTTGAGAACTTGAGAATAAAAAATGTGAATGAAGAAGCTGGGCTACAAACAACGGAACTACAAAGGTTATTCACAGAAATAAATAAGGAAAACTACCCAAACATAGGAAAAGGAAATATTCTGATATATGAGGCATATAGAACTCCAGCCACCTACAACCAAAACAGAGCTACACCCAGGCATATAATAATAAAGATCCCAGAAAGTCAATATAAGAAAGGAATATTAAAAGCTGTTAAAGACAAGAAACAGATAACCTATAAAGGAAGGCCCGTCAGAATAACGGCAGACTTCTCGACACAAACCATCAAGTCAAGAAGAGCCTGGAGCAAAATATTCCAAGCCCTGAAAGAAAATAACCTCCATCCCAAATTGATGTACCCTGCTAAACTGTCTCTAGAAATTAATGGAGAAACAAGATGCTTCCAAGACAAAGAGGAACTTGGGAAATTTGCAACCACCAATCCAACTCTACATAGAATATTGCAGGGCATTCTAGAGAGAGAGAAAAGTACTAGGATTCCAGGAACTGTGGCAGAGAGTTCTCAATGAATGGAGCAGGAAACAGAATGAAGAAGATAAGCAGACAACTGATGGCAAAAAAAAAAAAAAGAGCGTAACAGAAATGAGGCAGAGAAGATTTTATTCAAAACTGATATGATTGATAGTATCAAGTCTGAGAGTATAGGCAACTACACTGAAGATGACAAGACTTTAAGATACACATTCTAGTTTGATAACTGCTGGTTTTTCAAGTTCTATACTATATATAAAGTTGTGTTTTATTTTTATTATTATTATTATTTTTGGTCTTTTTCCTTTTTATCGGTACCGGGGATCGAACTCACGACTGCCTGCTTGCAAGGCAGGCGCTTATGCCGCTAAGCTAAATCCCCAGCCCCAGTTGTGTTTTTATTAATACTGTTATGTACTGATATATTCAATTATACTATGTCTGATGATATACCCAATCCTATTGGAGAAAGCAAGAGA